GGCACTGTAGCTGCTTCAAGAGCTATACAGTGCTGTAAGTTCATGCCCACAAACGGAGGATACTCTGAGGCTATGAGTATCTGCGTCAAAGATTTGGAAGACCTTTGATGATTGTAAGGAACGTATTCGAGGCTGTTAAAGGTAATGGTAGTCAATTACAAGATGACTCCAAGGCACTCACTGAGTTTTTGGATAATCTGTTGACTTACAAGAATACGTTGATTTCGATGAATTGCATGGGCAATCTGAACTCAAGTTCCGTCCTAGAGTTCACAGCAAAACGCCTACCTGCTCGACTGCAAACGAAGTGGGCAAAGATAAGCTCTTGTATAGAGGATGAAGGTATTGAACCAAAGTTCGATGATATTCTGAAACTGATAAAAGACAGCGTCAATCAAGCTATGAGCAAGTTTGTCAGTGTATTTCATCCCACCGCTAGAATAGAGCAGTCAGAGAGCGAAATACAATCATCCATGACGAAAGAGTCTGAGAGAAACGGATGTTGGGAAAAATCTATGGTAATCTAAATGTGAAATCAGCGTTATCAAGGTCTGACTATGAATTGTGTGATGATAATGGTGCGGTCAAGAAGCCTGTAGTTGCAACTGGTAAGCCATTGTTCAATAGAGTCTCACAGACGACACTGCAGTTTGTGTAGGAGAAGGGAGTTACAGTTTCAGAGTCCAGTTCTGACTCCACAAGTTTTCAAGGTATTACTAGCCGGAGTGAAGGTATAAAACCTTTAAGGATTTGTGTGGAAGAACCCAAATTGTCTATTGCTGTTAATAAAGAGTTTGAAAATGGTGAAGTCGACCAGATAGACGACGGTGATGTGGATATTTTTGATAATGATCATGATAGTGCACATTTCTCTTTGATTGGTCATGATTAGATGAGAGGAATGCCTGCTACTACCACTACTGAGTTGAACAGAGGTTCTGTACAACTTGAACTTGAAGTAGACTTAAAGACATGCGGTGGTAGAAGGTATGGATACTCGCATGACTGTCAGTGTAAATGATCAGCGTGTAGCCCACCTATCAACAGATGCGAATGCTAAACTGGAGCTAATAACAAAATACAGCAGTGACGGTAATCTTGCAGTTAGACTACCTTCTAAATGTCGAACAATAACAGCTTCTGATGCACCGCTAAGTTCATCAACTTGTGTCACTCAGCCATCTTCGGTGTTGTCACACATGATGAAAAGGACGTCCGTGAACTCACGTGTCTTATGCTATGACCATTCTAGTATAGATCCGTTTGAAAGGAGGAGTGTCAATGACCAGAATAATGAGGACAAGCCAACTGCGTATGAGAGTGTAACTGTTAAACTCACTCACACGAATAAAGGCATTTCAAGTTTCAAGTCACTATTTGAATGCTATTGTCTTTGGTGTAAATTACTCTGTGTCTACGCTTGGTTGACCAGATACGTCGTGTGTTTGTTCGTCATCTATATTTTACGATACAATGATATGAGCGTGTTACCGTTCAGATTTGAGGATATAGCTGATAGAGGAAAGTCAGCAAATGAACTCTGCGACGATTTTCCAACCTAGAGCGTCAACCTGAGAAGGGTTGTAGGCGTACTGGTGTAAGTCCTGCAATTCTTCAGAGGAATTCCATCGAGACACTATCCGCGAGATTATTTGTAATGTTTGTATATACGTGTCGTGTGTCATATCAATTGGTGTTTTTGGATCCATTGTGTTTAGTCGTTGTTTTCGCACCTTGTTGTTATGGCGTAATTTTGTTAAACTTTTCGTCGTGATTACTTCTGAAGTTGTTTCCAGTCTTCTACATCCGTGAATGAATTGATTGATGTTGAAGACAGCAGATGGGTCGTATACGCCAGGGAGGCTAGGCTACTGCTGAGAATGACATGCACACGGAGATAAGGATTACCTGTGGTCCCACACGCCGGGAAGCGAGAGTGTAGACGACTGAGGCTCGCATACGTCACCGTTACTAGAACTGAGGCAGAATGAGTGACAAGCGATTGCAATGGTAATTGATAGTGAATAAAAAAGAGGATGTGCGTAGAGTATCGTGAGGTGCTCCTATGGTCACACTGCATTCTGCAAGAGTCATTCTAGCGAGTGGCGGTTGTGTTGCAAGATGTCAAGAGGATACCTTCATCTGGAGGCGCAGGTCGTCAGCGATGTGTGAGATTGTGCTGTGGGTATGCTTGTGGTGTGTTGGCTTTTCTGTTTGTTTTCCATTTCAGCTCTGTCCGTGTGACCCAGGTTCTCGCAATGGCATCTAAGTCAACGTGCATTGGTCGTGATGGTGAATAAGGTGGATCCCTTTTTTGCCGGGAAGTGTCAATGGAGTTGAAGATTGAACGATCAATTCATTTTTGTTTGCTCAAAACCAACTTTCCCAATTTTCGCGGAGGCATCAATACGACAGTCATCGTCTCATCGGTCGCTGTTCAGAAAGAAGTCAGCAGTAAGCCGTCAGAACTAATATTGTGATTTATTATTGTAATATTTATTCATAGACCTCAGTTAAAGCTTAACTTTAAAGTTGGATATATGTTGATGTTACAATAAAGGATTCTCGAGTAACCAATCCGTGTTCTGGTTTTGCGTCCGTTATTACTATGCGTTTCTGAGAAACTTCAAGGAACAGCGTGAGTCCCAGCGTAGCAAGAGCGGGGCATTGATGGTTTACGAGACGTGACCGACGGCGCATTACTCTTCATTTGCAGTGCTTCAATGGAATACCTTCGAGAAGTGAAGAAAACAGAAGGAGACAGAGGCAGCCAGAAGATAATAATAATTTAAGCAAACAATATGCGATAACCGCAGGGTTTATTCTCCTTTTTTATTACTAGGAATTTCTAGTCATTGAGTTTTATAGTGTTACATACTAACGGTTAGTTTAAGTTTGTAGTAGTAAACAACAACTAAAGTATAGGATAATAATAAAAAAGTAAAAATTAGGGCGAAACGAATGATGGTTTTCACTCTTATATAGGGTAATGTTGGGAATAGAAACTGAAGAAGTGAAATCCAAATGTCAAAGTACATAAGTTATTTAGAAGAAAAGAGGAAGTATAGTAATACTGATTTATGCTGTTGTTCTGATTTATACAGTTAGATGTCCTCCTGAAGTAGAGAAATCGTACCATGAGCCATTTTTCAAAGAGTTTGTACACAAGCTGTGACATACAGGCAGCTTTTATTTTTTATTTTATTTATTATTATTATTTTTTGAATTAATTCATCCTCAGGAGCCTTAACAGTAGAGTGCATTCCCACGCTGTTCAGTGGAAGATAAAGTGCTATCAGAAGTATTATCATGATTTATTGTTATAGCATTTATTCTTAGACCTTTTGTGTAATAAGCTTATTGTTGGTTACATGTTGGCGGATTAATAAATGATTCTCGAGTCGCCAGTCTTTGTTCTGGTTTTTTCCTGTTGGTTATTACAAATTGTTTCTGAAAGTCTTCCAGGGACAGCGTGAGGTCCAGCGTGGTCAGAGCTGGACACTGACAGTTTATAATAGTTGGCTGACAACTGGCTTCATCAACTTCGATCTTCATCTCAGTTTTAGTGCTCCTTTTATGTTTCCTTTCGCCCTTACGTGTCCTTTGCTTTCACTTTTTCATGCAAGTGTCGCTTTTTGCTTCACTTCTCTTTGATACTTTGCACTGACATTAGACATCTTTTGTAATATGATCGTGTTTGTATCTGTGGTGTTCTTAAATTCCTGACGTTGTTTGAGTCTGTAGCGGTAGGCATTTCCCCGGATTTATTGGCCATAACATTCGTTGCTGAACATTAAGTGCTGACCCTGCTGTTTTAGTCGAAGGCTTACGGTCAAGCATCCACACCATTTGGCACGCCATCATGTCACGTCCGTTCGTCCGTGCGCGGTCCCTAGCTAGTACAGCAATCATCTTGCAATCCTATTTGGTCCCAAAATATAACTCGTAATTTGGATGATGAATTCTGGTGTTTTGCTTCGTCTTTGGTTTACGCGGAACGAATAATGTAGAAGTTGTTGGCATCAGATCTTGCGTTAGTGCTTCGTACTATCTGTGAACGTCACTACATTTAGCCTCTAAAAAGGTTTCGTCCGGGGCAATTTAACATTCTTGAGTTTTGTAAATGAGGTCAAGATATCCCCAGATTTCCTAAACTGTTAGGCTTTTATGTAGCTATCAAATCTGAGTAGTATGAGAAACGTGGGTGTTAGGTCTTATTTATTTATCCCAATACACTGTCAGAGTATAGAGAGGCTTGCGGCCCTTAACAAGGAGGAGCGAACCGACTTTACAGGCTCACTATCTGGTATATTGCAAACCGTAGCGTTATGTTTGGATGCGAATCTTCTAAGAACTTTGCTCCACAGGAAGTCCATAACTTTCTCTCCTTAACGATTTCCGAGTCAGTGTGAGTTGGTTCAGACTTCAAATTAAAGAGTTTTAGAAAAGTTATATGCCCCAGTCTTTTTTATATGAGTGTTTCTGGAATCAAAATAAATAGACCTAATTTCGTCCTGCATATTTTTTATGATGCAGACTAAGTTAGGGAGCTCTGTCCTTTCTGACAGGACCTCTTCTACGGGGGTCAGCATTAGGTTGTAGCCGTTTATATTGTGTGAACTACTAGTGACCACTGATTTAAGCGATGGTAATGCGTATTAGTAAAGTTCACGCTATTTCCTAAGTTAGTGGTGTTCCTAAGAACACGCTTTTTATTTATGATAAGATATTAGGATGCCATAAATGAATGTTAGCGAAAATACGTGTAGAAATGTCACCAAATTCACACGTACCGCAATATATATTTATTCGGGTAGTTCCTCCAAGGTCATTGGGTGGCTGCTGTAGCTTACCCCTAAAATATTATTTAAAAATAGATTTTCAATATGTTCTCCTAAGAAAGTGAATCTATTCTCTTATGTTCCGAATTTTGCGTAGGTTGTTTTTCTTCATAAGTGGCCTTGAGAGATGAACTTATTTGGGCTCGGAATATAACACGAACCCACGTACATACTCACCCATCAGTGGTTGGCCGTATAATGCCGCAGGATTCGCTGTTTTTGTACGCTGCTACTGTCGTGAGAAATTTAAAAATTTTAGGTTATGCATTTGAAGCACACAATGTTCCTAAAGACGCTGCATCTTTTTCGTAAGTGAGAGTGCAATTCTTAACTTTTATCAAAGATCGTTTTTTAAAGTCTGTCGGAAGGCGGAGTTCATCCATATGCTTCATTTTTTGTTCCAAACTCTAGACCCATTGAAATATGAGGCTGATAAGCTTAGGTACATCTTCTGTTAACTAATATATGTAAAAAAGTTTTCTTGTAGGACCAAAGTCAGAAGTGAAATTCAAGAATGCTATCTACCGTTGGCTGCGTATACTATCAGCGGAGGTATACATGTTAACTCTTCTCACTTTTGTAGTATCCCAAAATTGTTTCTAATTTCTTCGCTGTTTGGGGCTATCCAGCTGGATCTGCAGTCTTGCGTTTTCTAGCGAATTTGTCTACTTATGTCTTATGTGTTACAAATAATCTAACATCATGTAGCAGTCAGTGCACTGAGACAACCAGGGAATCGGATGAATTAAGGCATAAATTTTTTGTGGACTCATGTCGCTGTATCCTTTCTGAGACAAAACTTCGAGAGTAAGTATTTCTTTTTCCGTCTGTATGTATCTGCGACACCTTCTTTAGTGTACGAGATAATTCGGGATTTGTCGTCATCCACGACTAGAAAACTGCAGTTCATTGCAGTGCGGTAGACTGAAGCATTCTGATTACTCCAAGGTGCTTCAAGTTGGTGTTATTAGGGTGTCAGTCGTTCCTATGAAAAGCTGAGTTGACGGGTATGATAAAAGAAGTCAGTAACAAGTCTTGTATCTCCTATGCGGGGAGGGGTCCAAGTTTTGACATCCTTTTGACTATAAAATCGTAAGAGGTGTTGTCTTATTTTAACATCTCAAGTCATGATTTCAGTGTCGGCCAATGTAATCTTTTTACTTCGACCAGGATATCTGTATGATGTTATTATAGTAAGATCTAAAAACCAGGAATCATTCAAAATCTCACATAGGGTGGTTGTAGACTGGGCTGGTTGTATTGGCTCTTTAGGCAAACTAGTCAGTCCAAACATGTGTCTTCAGAGAGGCATACTGCAAGGCTCACTAACTTACATTTGAAAATCTGGGACTCTGGTTTCGATGTTTATTGCGGAACCGGGACAAGATTTTCTCCGGGAATCTAAATGTATGAGTTGTTTGGTTTTCGGCTGGTTATCCAAAATATTGGACTTCCTGTGTTCTGGGTCCGAACTCCGACCGACGCACTCCTAAATCTCGCTAATCCCAGCGGGGTGGGGGGGGAGGTTGTACTTGAGACTTGCAATCCCACCACGTAAGAACGAAACTGCTGCTATTGGAACTTCAAGGCTTAAGCTTGAATCCCTTTGTTCTACTTGGAGCGCAAAGGAGTAAAATAAGTAATAAAATAATTTCCTGCCTTTACAATCATACAAAACAGAGTCAGTTGAAACAAACATTTTGTTGGAAATCGCTATAAAATCTATTTAGATGTAGTTGGGTGTAATATATTCACCCATATTTACATGCCTTTCTGTACATGCTGGATCCTTCTTTTATAAGCTCTTTGTTATCATTATTATTGTTCCCTTGGGTTCCTAGTGGAACATAAGGCTTCAACTACACGTCTCCACTTGCTTCTGTCCTCTGCTGTACTTTTCACCTGCATCCATGTTAGTCCATACTCTTTCAACTCCTCAACTCTTCACACGATCTCCTCCATATCACCCTTGCACTGACGTCCCACTCGCCGCTTCCCTTTCGGGTTCCACTCGAGGGTTTGACGCACGATGTCACCCAGCGGTCTCCTCAGCGAGTGTCCGATCCATCTCCACTTCCTCCTGCATATTTGTTGGTTGGCGATTGGTTCTTGCTTTGTTTAGTTTGTTCCCATAGTTTCTTGTTGGTGATTCTTTCCAGCCCGGCTGTCTGATCTTCAGTATAGAGCCAGCGAAGACAGTTGTTGATAAAGGTCTGCAACAAGCTGTTGGAAATATTCTTTGTGATCCGCCAAGTTTCTCATCCGTATAGAAGAACTGACTGACTTGACGTTTGTATTGAAAACCCGACCGAATATTGTTGTTGATGCTGAGTGACGATTTCCAGATTGGTTTGTAATGATGGTTGATGAATGTGTTTCTCGCCTTCCCGATTCTCGCTCGATTTGACATCCTCGTGCGTTCCAACTTCCTGTAGTTGAGACAATGCTCCCTAGATAAGTGAATGGAGTAACTAACCTCTTTCAAATCCCTCCCGTTGATGGGGATTGGCGCTGGATGTTGCTGTTGTTGTTGTTGGCTGGTTATTTTCATAACTTCCGTCTTGTCTATGTTCACTTGGAGTCCTGTTTTCGCCGGCTCCTTCTTCGACCAGTTTGTCGGTTTTCGCTTGTAAGTCTTCGATTTTGTGTGACATCAAACATAAATCATCCACGCGCGAAATCCAGGTCTTCTAGGTTCTTCATGTCCATCCAGGATATCCCTGTCTTCTCGTTTCCCACTGTCTGACGCATAATCCAGTCAGTCCACCACAATTAGGAATATCATTCATTAGTGATTATAAGCACCCTTGTCTGACTCCTGTGTTTACTCCAAACGCCTTGCAGAGTTTTCCGTTGTGGATGACTTGACATGTGCCGTTGTTGTACAGCTGTTGAATAAGGTTGATGAATATTTGCAGTACGCCGCCGTAGTACTCGAGTAGTTTCCAAATTACTTCGCGGTCAACGCTGTTGAAGGCCTTCTCAAAGTGTATAAAGTTGAGGTGGAGGTTTGATTGCCATTCCATGCTTTGTTCTGTGATGATGATGTGTAGAGTTGCGATTTGATCAGAACATGATTTGCCTGACTTTCCTGAATCCACCTTGTTCTGGTCGGAGTTCTGTATCCAGTGCGTCGTTTATTCTCTCCAGGATGATGCGACTCAGGAGTTTACTTGGTGTCGACAAGAACATGATTCCTCGCCAGTTCTTGCAGAGTCCTAAGTCTCCCTTCTTTGGTAGTTTCACGAGGTAACCTTTCCTCCAGTCAGTAGGCACCTTTCCCTCCTTCCAGACCTTTTGCAATAGTGGAGTCAACATATCTGCTGTAGTCTCTGGGTCCGCTTTCAGTGCTTCAGGGGGTATTCCATCTGGTCCGGCTGCTTTTCCAGCTTTCAGAAGCTTGATTGCATTCAAGACTTCGGCTTTCGTTGAGGATTGGTGTCAACTTGCAGTTTTGTGCGCGCTGTTGTTGGTATTTCTGGACGGGTTGCAGGTGATGGTCGGTTCAAGAGTCCTTTGAAGTGATCCGCCCATTGTTCAATCTGTTTTTCTTCCTTATAGGTTTCACTTGTGTTGATCTCTTCCCGGATAGAGATTTGGTTATCTGATATAATGTCCTCAGATACCTTTTGCCTGCTGCCTTCTCAGCTTCAGTGGCCAGGTTGTCGTAGAATTGTCGTTTGTCCTTCCTAGCACTCTTCTTCTTTTTTTCTTTGCCCAGTGCTGTGTACGTTGAGCTCAGCGTCTTTTTCTCTTGTCCGTCTTTGCATTGAATCATTTTCTATTTCACCATTCTCCTCTCCTCTATTAGCTTCCAAGTGTCCGTTGAGAGCCATTCCTTGTTTTGTCTCGTCTTTCTTCCTAAAAGCGTTGAACACGTTTCGTTGAAAATCACCTTCAGAGAGTTCCAGTGTTCTTCCATGCATGATTTTTCATTGATGTCACGTAGTGTTTCCTGCTTTGCTCTGACAGTTGCAGTGAAAGTGTCCTTTGTGGTCGTGTCCTTCAGTTCTTGACTGTTGGACTTGCATAGTGGCCTATCCCCAGCTATCCTCGAAACTTTCAGCTTCACCTTGAAAGTTCCTTGTACTAGATAGTGGTCTGAACCCACATTTGCTCCTCTCCTCGATCTTGTGTCCAGTAGGCTCCGTCTCCACTCTCTTGAGGTTGAAATGAAGTCTATCTGGTCTTTGGTGTGTCCATCTGGTGAAATCCATGTTGCCTTGTGTATATCCTTGTGTTTGAACACACTGCCACCAATCACCAAATCATTGAAGGCGCAGAAGTCTGAGAAGAGTTCACCGTTGTCGTTCATTTCGCCGAGGGCCTCGCGACCCATGGTGAGTTCTCTTCCTGTATTGTCTCCTCTCATTTTAGCATTCATATTACCCATCAGGATTTTGATATCGCCATTTGAGACGTTGTCTATTACTGTTTGTAATTGTCTGTAGAACACCTTTTCTTGTTCCGAGACGTTTGTAGGTGCATAGCATTGAATGATTGTAGCCTTCTTTCCTTCCTTTTGAGTTGAACCTGGCTGTCATTATCCTGGAGCAGATTGGTTCCAACTGCATGAGAGCTATGGCTGCTGTTGGTGACATCATGATGGCCACTTTCTCGATGTGCTCGTGATTGTCCTCTGGGTGGCCGGAATAGATTATTGTCTCTCAAGTTGGTAGTTGGCACCTTCCATATCCGTTCCATCTGCTGTCACAGATTCCCAACACCCCTATTCTATATCTTCTCATTTCTGCGGCTACCTGGGCAGCCTTTCCAGTTTCATACATTGTACGAACATTCCACGTCCCCATCCTTATTTTTGGTTTCATCAAAAGAAGGTACATCGGCTGACTGGCTTCCCGAAGGCTTTCACCAGCCTGCGTCATTTCACTTCCCCGATTCCAGTGAAAAATAAGGTTATTGTTTATATTTTTAGTATTTTGAATATATTTGTGCGTTGAAGTTTCTGTAGCGATTTTGTTAAGTTTTGGGGGTGGAGTTGCTAGCACCACGCCCACTCTCCCCTTTATCCGGGCTTGGGACCGGCTAGAAAACTGGCGGGCTAGTAATCTAGGCGAGGTTATAAACGCTTTGTAGTTAATTTATTTTCATGGGAATTTATTGACTGCAAATAATTTCTCTATTTGCACGATTTCATTATTTAAATTCCTACTAGCTAGACTCCTGGCCCGATTTTTATAAACATTTAACTAAACGTATCTTCACCGATTCTGGATGGAATGAATTAAAGTTTAAGTATTTATTAGAGTGTGTCGGTTTCCTGTAAATGCTAGTATTCTAGTCCATCATCCTGTTTTTGTCTTATTCTATAGACTAGCATAGTCAACTTACTTTGCTCGTTTCCTAACTCAGAAGTGGATTAGACTGCATCTACTATTGACTTCATATGTGTAAAAAAAGAATCATATATTATATTCAGATTTCAACATATCTTCACCATAACCTAAGAGCAAAAGTTTTATATTCCCAACTATCCATAAAATATGTCTGCTACTGTTGGCGATATTGTTTCAATCTGAACGGTTTAGTAACTGGAACTATATAATTAACTCTTTTGAACAGTTTGAGACTATTCTATGTGCAGTAACACATCACATCTGTTCGACTTAACTACTGTCTCTGTCTGTCTGGATTCAACATAGAACTTGGCACCGAAGTGCAGCAGTTCGAGTTGCCACGTTCCAAATACCACACAAAGGTAGACAAGAAGATGAGTGAAGAGAATCAATAGAGTTTGACAAGTATAAGAGTGAAACAGGATGGGTAATGGTAGAAAGGAATATGAAAGATTACAGAGACTGAATACATCTGCTCCATTGACAACGATTTTGAGCCATTTCACCTATTGTCTCCAGCCATTGATTCTTAGAGTCCCGAGGGCCCCAACCCGGAAGTCTGCATCTCCCTACCCGACTCAGTTTAACTGTCAAGGATTTCATGGATTGATGCCATGTTTTTGTTTGGGCACCACTTACTCTTTTCCAACCTGCATCTATATCAGCTAGTAATGCCCGTCGGGCATGCGCAGCATGTGACCTAGCCATCTCAGTCTACGTAACTTTATAGCCCCGTCGATGATTTTCCCTCTTTGCCCAACATTTTACGCCTAACGTCAACATTTCTTACCTTATTAAACCACCTAACGTGAGAAAGAGATCGCAGACATCTATGGTCGAAAGCAGTCAACCTTTTCATGTCTTCAACTCGTATTGGCCATGTTTCAGAGCCATAGAGAAGGACGGAGCGAACTGCTGAGCAGTACACACGTCCCTTGGTTGATAGCCGGATGTCACGCCTACGCGAGAGATGGTGTAAGTCAGCGAAAGCAGCTCGAGCTTTTTGGATCCGTGCTGAGATATCGTCGCCAATCAGTCCGTTGGTGCTAATACAACTTCCCAAATAGGTGAAGTGGTCAACATGTTCTATCACTTCACTCCCTATCACTAAGTTAGGGATTGACGGGGTCCAGTCCTGTAGCAGCATCTTACATTTTGCAGGGGCGAATCGCATGCCAAACATACGAAGATTGCTGCTCAAGGTGTTCAGAAGACTCTGCATTTTTTCAGCATCCTCCCCTAACAGGACTATGTCATCTGCATATTCTAAGTCCATTAGATTATTCTCTGGTAATAAGTCGATTCCTAAGTCACTACGTTCAGTTAAGGATACTTCCATCAGCATATCTATGACGAAGTTAAACAGAAATGGGGAGAGTGGACATCCCTGTCGGACACCACTGGTTGTTATCAATTTAGATGACAATTCCCCATAAGCCCTTACACGACTACGTGAGTTTGAATATAGTGCCTTGATTAGTGCAATGTGTACTTTCTTGACAGTCCCTTCACAGTCGAACATTGCCATAGTACCTTTCGATCCACGGAGTCGAAGGTCGCCTTCAAGTCAAGAAATATGGTAATTGTTGGACGCCGAAAAGTGTGTCTGTTTTCTAGAATCTGTCGAAGAGTGAAGATATGATCTATGCACCCCCTGCCATGAAAAGACTAGCTGCCTTTGATCATAGGTGCCTGCGTTCTATTTCCCGTGTAAAGTGGCATAATAAGGTGAGCAACATGGAGGTTAGGCGTAGAGTTCTAGGTAAACAAGGGAAATCAATCGACGAAGTCGTGAAGCTACGTCGACTGAGATGGTTAGGACATGTGTTACGTATGCCAAGTCATCGCCTCCCTCGACGAGCTATGTTAGCGGATGTAGGGTCAGGCTGGAAAAAAGCTAGTGGCGGTCAAACAAAAACTTGGCATCAGTCAATGAAATCCACAACAGTTGGTCTTAGCCACGTAGGAAGGTGTAGACTTCCAGGTTGGGGTCCTCGGGACGGCAAAAATCTATGGTTGGAAACGATTGGTGACATGGCTCAAAATCGTTCTCAGTGGCCAGCGCAGATGCATCCACTCCCTGTGACTTATGATCTTCAATGAAATTGTTTTGTATTTCTTTATTACTCCTTTGTCTCACACCTCTAGCTCACTGTTTCTATTATGCTTTTCTTGTACTTTCTTCTCTTGCTTCGCGTGCTACACGGAATGTGGCGACTTGAACTTCCGCACATTTGTGCAAAGTTCTATGTCGAAAACAGACAGACAGACAGACCCTCTGCCTGGTCTAAAGCCTGCTTGATTTTCCCTTGTCTGTTCCTTCCGAGTTCTGCTTAGTCTGTGCATGATTACTGAATGTTTCTTTGCCAGAAATTTTTATTTTTACTATTAGTATATCTTCCTTTTTAAAAAAATATTTTTCATTAAAGGCGACTTAAAGAGTTTCGCTGTACTCTTCATACTGAAGTTCATGATAAATTAAAAGAACTTACACAGTGCAAACAACGAATCCTGTTAGATGACAGTATACAGAAACAACTGTAAGTTTGAATTGCTTTGTACAAAATAAACACTTAATGGTACTATTGTTTTACATGCTATTATAGCTTTTATATTAAACTTGATATATATTAGAATATGACATGAATAGAAGCGATATTTCTTTTGGCCAAATCTTTGAACTTTGCTCGAATGCAAATAGGTTTATATATATATATATATATATATATATATATATGAGCCTGGTCCTCGTGGAGCCGGAATGTGGAATGATGATTTGGGCGTGGATCCGATGGTGGCATAGAGTAGATCGCTTTAGAAGAAGATGAGTGTTATTATGTCACCACATTGGAATTGAAATATGGGACGCCGAGTTTGACCTGGACCCGGTGACCACGAGTATTGCTAGTCTAACGCCAACAACATTATACGAGAGCTACGTGTTCCCTAGCTTTTGTGTAATGATGGGGAGGGGCGCAGCTAAAATGGGCCTCAGCAAACAAGATGAAACAGAAATATACTGTTCTACTCCAAACCCAAGGAAGTAATAATAATAACAACCATTATTATAATATTATTATTATTATTACCTTGGGCTGTAAGTGGAACATAAGGCTTTAGTAACACATCTCTTTGTTCTATTTTCTGCTGTCTTCTGCAGCTGGGTCCACGCCTGTCCATACTCCCTCGTTTATAAATACTTAATACATTTTATGTAGTTGGTCATGTTAAAGAAGAGAAGGGCTGTATAAATTTCTTTCCTGCAGGAAAATCTCTTATTGAACTAAAAGTGGCGTAAGCAAGGAGTCTGTTCTAGTGTTGATTTTCTTTGTTTTATCGATCGCTGTTAACTGTGGATTGTTGACTTCATCATTCTGAGATGAAGATTTTTCCTCTAACAATTTATTAAACTTTTTGATTTGATTATTTTTTGACTTTTTGAAAGTTGCTGATTTTGCATTTCTAGAGGCCTGTGTTTTAAGATCATAATCTGCATTGGTAACTATTCCCACTAACCTTTGCTTTAACTGTTCAATTTCGCATCTGATATGTTGCAACTTTTTAACGATTCGATGGATCGCTTCTTTCAAGCATATTTTTTGTAGGCTTTCTATTCTGCTTCTAACTCTGTCCATTGGAACTGAAGCTCTTTTAGGCGTAGATATTTAGGAATGGATTTCATTTTTTAAGCATGGAATGTTGAAAATACGATGATTTTCATATCTTGCTTCAGTTTGCGAAAGTCGAGTGAATTTACTGATGAGTCTTGGGCACGTTTTACACATATATTGATTTTCTTAATTACTTTCTTGGTTTATGTCCTTAATTGCAGAAGTGCCGATTGTCATTCTCTCTGTTCTGACGAAACCATCGACCTTCCAGAGGAACTGATTACTTATCAAATTCAACTGAAAAAGAAGGTAAGAGTTTGTATTCCCCGAGGTTAATATTGATCGATCTGTGTGTTTATGTATTATTTTATTATTAAACACGGAATCTGATACAATATGAGCATTAAGAAGATGTACCAAACGGTAAGAATAAAACAATCACATATAAGGCGAATACGGAGAGAATGAATAAAAGACTTCATCTGCGACGAAAGTAGTTGTATTTAAGAAGACCAAATAGCATCGAATTACTGTCAGAATGAGAAAGAAGAAGTAAATCTCAGCACACTCGTCATTGATTGAGATTCTTGGCGATATCTGATAAAATTTCGATCCACCAATTCAAACTATCTTTCGGACTAGAACCAGGAAGTCGTGATTTGCCAACCGATGCTAATCTAACGCGAATATGCTTCATCTCACGATACCATGTTATAAGGGTGATCACCTCTCCACCTTTTCCATCTAGTCCCCAGGACTAGCGAACAGAGACACCGGTACAGAGGCTTCTAGGATGACATTCGTAGCACATATCTAAGCCACCGAAGCCGATGTTGCTAGATGACGGCACTCAATGAGTGGTGATCTCCACTGTCTGCAAACATGCACTGTCGGACTTCAGAATTACATGATGGTGCTATTGGATGCAAGTAATTCTACGGAGACGGCGATGATTGGATGTACACAGTTGTCCTTGATTCTCACTCCACCCGAAGGGGCCACTTTTCACAGGCATAGAGCAAGACTATGCGCACTGGAGCATTGAGAATCCCGACCTTTGAGAGCCAGGCTAACGTTGCGACAGCGCCAGAGGTGACTTAGATTGACGTATGCCTCCCTAGCTTTCACACTATACGGTTAGCAATTTTGTCCGTCAAATCTCTGTCAGCACTCACGCAACTACCCAGATACACGAACTTATCCACGACTCTAAGCGGTTCATTTGCAAGAATGACTGCAGGTACAAGTTCGTGTTAATCTTACAACAGAACTTTGCAGTTATTTAGACGGTGCAAAACACATACCGTAATTACATACACTGATCGCCAACTGATTAAGTGGAATATGGGAAGCCTGCATGCTATTGCACAATAAGACGATATTGTTTGCATACTCTGGGTGAAAGTCTTTCTACAGAAGGCAGATGTACACCACCACCACCACGCCTATCCTTCAGAGCTGATTCTAGAACATTGTTGATGACAAAGTTCATGAGAAGTGGGCGAATTGAGCAACCTTGTCTAACCGCACTGTTGGCTAGGATCACTGATGAGAGCTGCTTGTTGTATACCCTCACTCTACCCTGAGGAGTTATTTCTCTATAAGGCTTTCAGCTTGTTGACAAACTTCTCAGTTACCCTCCTCTCTAACATACACTTCTAGAGAACACTTCTCTCCAACGAATTGAAGTCAGCCCTGATATTAAGAATAACAACGACTGTCGACCTGCAATACATGTGACGGTGATCCAACTTTTGACAAAGATTGGACACATGGCCAATGCATCCACAGCCTGCTCTTCGCGAGTCAACTATTCACGTGTTTCGCCCAACCTACGAAGCAAGACAACAGCCAATATTTGAGACGTGTGACTGTTAAGTCGAAGAGAGAGAGAGATCTCCTCTTGTAATAACTTCACTTCAAAGCTGTAAAGTTATCTAGGGGATTTATATATGTATATGCATATGCGTTGTTAATTAGTAACAAAGATGAGAAATTGCTATTCAGTTAGCAGAAAAGACAAATGAAAGTAGTCTAGAATTGCATGAGAAATAATAATACTAATAATGTGTGAAAAATAGTGATGATGAATAGTCATCATTCGGAAAATAATTTGTAGACAACAAGGAGGAGGTGAAAGTGGAATTGACACTAAGGCCACAAGTAGTAAAAGAGGTTGAATACAACGTCATCGGACACAACCCGACCGAAAGCTGCTACCTTGACGTGGTGGTCGGGCTTGAACACCGCAATGACCTAATCAAGCTATACTGGCTGAGACTTATGTCTCTTGAGGTTCTACCATGCCAGGCAGGTTGTTTGGATAGCGGTTAAACAAAAAGCAGCTACCCAATCCAACATCATGATTCAAACAAATTCACAAAATATCATGCCGGATCGGCCGTGGCCCGGATTAACAACGACCGCGCTTCCTGCTGCCGTGTCACAGGGCAGGAGTGATAAGTATGCTACTGAGACACACCAAACAAAAAAGAACAGACAAAAACAGGTCGCGTGTGACCTGCCTCAAGCAGTTGTCCCCTGGGCTCTGCGGTCACGCAACCAACTTCTACGGTGTGGGCAGCCGGGAAGTAACAAACGCCCTCACAATCCGAAATGCATCGGATACAAAGTTCAGGTCTCTCTTGTTGGATTACTAGAGCTACTGCTGCACACGGAAGATGAAAGCGAAATTCTTTTGGACAGTCTGATCGTACTTAATATTATAACTCTGAATATGATAACTATGAGAATAACAATAAGGCTTTATTCCAGACAACATACGAACACAGAGTATAGAAATCTTCAGCGTTTTTTGTTTCCATAATATCCCCTCTTCATACAGGATTGACATGTAAAGTAATAATCTGAAGTATATTATGTGACGTAGCTTTGTGGTATATGAAGACGGAACCAATTCTGTACATTCTTGCTTCATTTCTTTAATTGGTTGGAGGATTTCATCATGAGCTGACATTAATTAGAGAACCATATTGGAAAACCTGGGAGTACTGCCAGACAGCTGTTTCGTCAGCTTAGTTTGGGACTCTTCATCAGTACGCACCCACCACAGGGGAGTTCGAACCGAAGACATTCTGGTTACAAGGCTAGCGAGCAAGCTCGTAGACCATTAAGCCACTGGTACCCAACCGATCCACTGGCCATTGCGTGAACTCTAACTTCTGCCAATTCTTTCAAGCATTGTACAGCCTTTTAGTGAGAAGTTAATTAAATATGTGCGCCAGTTCATATACTGACCATTTGATATGATCGCCCAACTAAAACAATAAGAAGTGCAGAAGAGTTTAAACAGTCTGATGAATGGAAATTCTCGTAGTCTAGTGATTTAAGCAGGTTGCCTTGAGAGAATAAATTTTCATCTGATAGTGCATGACCAGAAGTGTTATTTTTACTGGAATTCCTTTAAACAACAGTTGGACAAAAGTTATCCTTGTTACTGAGAGATTAAACAACCTATGTCCTAATTTAAACATATTCACATTTAGATTTATTTTCGTTTGGAATGTAATAAATAGGCTGTTTTTTGAACTAATTCAGCAGCATGCACCCACAGCCTGGGTTCGAACACAGGACCTTCAGGTTACAAGTCAAGCTCGTACATCATTCAGCCATTGGAGCGCGATTCAATGGTCAGTACATGAATTCCAACTCTTACCAATTCGTGATTTTAGCGCTACTCTCAGTAACAGCAAATGTCATCAGCGAGGATTCGTTCTCACTCCCGACCTGGTGGATCCCACTGATCACGACTTCTCGTTAGCACTCCAAACATCTTCGTCCTGTAGCCAGTCAGTCACCAGTTGAGCACATCAGATTAATTTTCAAGAGTTAGTTGGCTAGAGTTCTAGTGAAAAGTCGTGACCAACAGGGGTTCGGACGTGAAGACGAATACAAGTGCTCACCGACAACACTGGCTGTCGGGGGTTGCATTAAAATCATGAATTTGGTAGAGGTTTCAATTCATGGACTATTGTGTCTGGTCCCAGTGGCTGAATGGTAAGTATACAAGCTCACCACCTTATAACCGGGAGATCCTGAGTTCGAACCCAAGCGGTGTTTACTGCTGATCAGTCCCATATATACATTTATACATATATGTACTTTATATTCTCATGTCTTGTTAACGTTCTTTCATTTCAAGGTGACATCTCTTAGACAACAACTCACAGAACATCTCAAAAACCATGCTCCCTCTTTACTGCTGTTAAGTAATATTGTTGAGGAATTGGATGAAAAAGAACCATGTATTCAAGACGGTGATAATTTGAAGATGCCATGTGCAGGTTTAGAAAATTTTACTAGTAATGGAATGGTATGTGGCTATAATTTATGTAGTTGTGGGAATGTATCTGAAATTACAGTTTTCTGTTTTTTTTTAATAATTTAAGTTAATTCTCGTTTCCTATTGACGGATCACATTTATTGATCCGCAAAATGCCTAGTCTGTGTTTGACACGTGGGCTCCTAGCACGCGGACATTTCGACGATATTTGATGAATACGATGGTGTTATTTGCTTGGCGGTGGCTAGCAGTGCGCTCCAGAACGTGCATTTACGCGTATTTGGGACGCGTCAACTAGCTGCATGTACCTGCATTCCCCAGTGAGTGATGGTTTCCACCCCACCCTCACTCCCCATCATTAAGACTCGAACCCAGTACCCATCATTTCCAACGTCAAATTGTTATCAACCAGAGGAATCGAGTCCCAAATAGAGGACACAATGCGCATCGTGGATTCCACTGCTAGTCAGTCACCAACCACCAAATTACCTCAAGTTAAATCCTCAGATGACATCGTCGAAGCATCTGCACAAGAAGTCAACATTTCCACAGAGGCTGAACACTTCAGTCCATTCAATCAACTGGAAAGTTCAAATTGAATCAAATACATTTCTCATACCGTTTTTTTGAAAATTGTGTCTATTGAATCTATTTTTGTTTTACACTTTATTTCGATGTGTAGTAGAGTGAACTGGTGTACCTCTGTGTACTGGTGTATCTGAGTAAGCAGGCTGGGATACGAAACCGCTTTACTTTTGTAAAAATTTTGTATCAACTCTAATAAACTGATTGCTGAAGACGGATTTACCAAACTGCATCATTTCTGATGAACGCGTGTTATCTTTCCATCCATCAAAGGTCGTGTCTGTTGTGTAGAATAGCTCACACCATCCTTATTTATTTAAACTCACAAAAACTTGGTACAATATGGCACCAAGACGATGCGCCACACAATAATAATAAAATAACGTAGATTGGAAGTAAAAATATAAGTAGAGAACGGATAAGGAACTTCATTTGGAAAGAAAACAGACATACTTAACAAGTTCAAACAGTATTCGTTAACTATCATCAGAAAGGGAAGAAAGAAGGAAATTGCAATACGTTCGCCATTGATTGCGATTCTTGGCCATATCCGATAACGTTTCGAGCTATCTCTTGGACTCCAACCAGGGAGACGTGACGCACCAAGCGATGCTAACTTAGCACAAATATCCTTCATACCACGACATCGTGTCATGGACTGACCACCTCTCTGTCTTTTCCATCCCGTCCCAGGGCTAACGAAAAGAGACACTGGTACGGAAGTCTCTGAGATGACATTCCTAGCACATGCCCAAGCCACCGAATCCGGTGTTTCTAGATGACGCCACATTCAACAAATGGTGATCTCCACTGTGTTCAAACACACGCCACCGAACCTCAGAATTACTCACGCGATGATGCCATCGGACGCAAGCAATCCTGGGAAGACAGCGACGATCGAACACGCAGAGTCGCCGCTCATCCTCAGCTCGGAGAGGCTAGGTTTCACAGGCGTAGAGCAAGACAGCCCTCACTGAAGCATTGTATACCCGACTTTCAGGCTAACATCGTGACAGCGCCAGAGGTGACTTGGATTGGGGTATGCAACCCTAGCTTTCACACTATACGATTAGAAATCTCACCCGTCACATCTCCGCTAGCACTCACGCTATCCAGATACACGAACTTATCGACAACTTCAAGCACTTCACCTGCAAGGGTAATTGCAAGTACAGACTCTTACCAATCTTGTAACTTGTACTTAGCACTTACTTAGACGGCACAAAGCACATACCACCAAACTTACAGACACTGATAACCAACTGATTAAGTGGGATTTGTGAAGCCTGCATGCTATCGCACAGTAAGAGGATATCGTCTGTATACTCTGAGTGAAGGTCTTCCTAGAGAAAGCAGATCTACACCACCACAATCACCAAGCATATCCCTCAGAGTTGACTGCAGAATGTCATCTATGGGAAAGTTAAAGAGAAATGGAGAGGTCAAGCAACCCTGTCTAACCCTACCTCTATCTTATTTTACGGATGTAAGATATATATCCTTTCAATGTGAAAGACATGATGAAAAGATTAGCGGTTTTTAACCACAGGTGGTATCTGCGTTATTGCGTGAAAGAATATTGTCAGTATCAGTATGGCTAGGCCCATTAGGCTAGGGTCACTTGGTAACTAAATTAAGTTTTTACCACTATTGAACCTAAAATTGATTCTCGTTTCTAGGACATGCTGTGTGTGTGTGTGGCTAAGTCACTGATTTGCTCAATGCGTATTGTCGGCCGAGATTGAATTAAATTAGGAAAGAATTGGAGTGGTCAAATCAAAATATAACACCAATCCATGCTGTTTTTTTGAACATCAGTTTGGGCGACATTGTGAGTTGTAGACTAACATGAATGAGGTGCCCAAGATCCCTAAAACTCATTGGTAACATGGTTCAAAGTTGTTCACAGTAACGTGATGAATGCATTTACATCTTGTGATCTTTGAGATTCCGTAAAAAATTCCCACTGTTCTTCACTTAATCATCATTCTTTATTTTGGCTGTTTTGATTTCATTGTTTTTTGTCTCTGCTGTTATGTGAGCTCTCCTCTGACCACCGTATCAAGTTTAACCGTTGTATGTTTGTGCAGACTCCTGTCAGTCTGTGTTGTTAATGATAACAATGATCGTAATAATGGTGTAACGGGAGAAGACAAGAGGCTTGCTAACGGAATGTTTACTAGCAATTTGACATACATATGTAGGGAAAGTATGTATACCACATATTATGATGGTCATTTGCATAGATCTTCCGCGTTGGGCTTCTTCTTTTTGTGCCTTCCATGTTCCGCTGCTATACTGACTCATTTCCTCCCTTCGACATCAAATCTATCTCTCTGCTGTTTGATATTTTTGTGCTGATGAACGTCTTTTTTATTACTATTATATTATTATTCCCTTGGGTTCTGAGTGAAACAGGGCTTCAACAACACATCTCCACATTATTGTATTTGGTGCTGTCCTCTTCATCTGGATAGTGCATCGGTGGTTCGGCGGTAGGATGCTCGCCAAGCATACATGTGGTCCGGGGCTCGATTCCTGGTCGGCGCACACCTTTACCTCACTTAGTCGGTTGTAACCTCTACAAAGAGGGAGGTTGGACGTCGGGCCGGCAATCCCATCCCTTGAAAACGTCAATGCTACTGAAATTTGAAATCTGAATCTTGAATCCCTATGTTCCACTCGGAACGCAAAAGGAATTAAATAAACAATAATAACTCTTCAGCTGGGTCCACGATCGACCATAATCTCTCCTCTCCTCCTCTCCACACGATCTCCTCCACGTCATCCTCGCTCCCACCGAGGACCCACTCGCCCCTTTCTATTGGGATTTCACTCGAGCGATGACTTGCATTGAGCGCGATGTCATTCGACCGTTTCCTCAATGTATGCTCAATCCATCTCCATTTTCTCTTGCATATTTGTTGAACGATCGGCTTTTGGTTGGTTTGTTCTCAGCCAGAGTTTCTTGTTACTAATTCTTTCTGGCCAGTCGGCCATTTGATCTTCAGTGTGGAGCCAGTTTAGTAGGTAGCTGTCGATAAAAGTCCGCAGTAGTCTGTTGGAAATGCTCTTCGTGACACGCATTACAAGTTTCTGACCCGTTTACAGGGATCGACTGACTGACCGACTTGACGTTGGTGTTGACAACACGAATCTTGTTCTTTATGCTGAGTTAGTACAGAAGTTTTCCAAACTGCTTTCAGGTTAATAGGGGGGGGGTGTATCTTGCCTTTCCGATTCCGACTGGTTTTGACATCTTCATCCGTCCCGCCTGCAGTTGAACCGATGCTTCTTTAATAAGGGAAGGAGGTAACCTCTGTTGAATCTCTCCCGTTAATGGTGATTGATGTTGGTTGTTTTTACCGTTGCTTTTGGTTGGTTATCTTCATCACCTCTGTCTTCCCTATGTTCAACTGTAATCCTCTCTTCGCCGGCGGCTTCTTCAGCCAGTTTGTCTCTTTTTATACTACTGATAAACTTCGTCAGTAGCATACGCCATACTCATCATCCCGTCAAACAGTGTCGTGCGGAGCAGCTCCTACCTTTTTGGTTCTACCTATTCTTGTTGTGCCCTGGTCCCAGCTTCCTTATTCCATTGTATCTATTCCTGCAGTTGTCTGATTTTAACCCGTCTCTGTTTATTTCCTCTTGTGATGATATAAACGGGACCATGTCTGTCGGAAGGAGTTTCCGTGACCCTGATCCGCATCTCGTTGTGTGCTTTCTCTCTCTCGCTGACTTCGAAGGTCATGCACTTCATCTTTTCTCTCTGTTCAGATTTCGCGGTGGCTTCGTTCCGTTCGCAATATTGTCATAATCAACTCTTGGTAAATGGACCGGGTCGTGCTGTGTATTGGTAGTCGTGGTGGTTTCCCTCCTTCCCCATGCATCAACTGAAATGATGACTTTTTATTGTTTTATGGGGTGAAGCACAATGTGCCAGTAGTATCAATGGAAGCTTTATCTCCCAGTTACCTTTTCTCGAGGTCAGCCAGTCGTTCAGTGTATGGTTATTCCTCTCAATCAAACCATTCACATTTGTGGATGGTATAGTGTTGTTCTAATCTTCATACACCCAGCTGTTACAAACGGGATGTAAATTCTTCACCGTCAAAGCAAAGAACATAATCTGTCAGTATCGTTTTTGGTACACAATTGTCTGCAGCGATATGTCACAACTTTTCCGCGTTGATCAAGAATTGTGACAGCGTCTAGTCATTGTATTGGGGGTGTTCCGCCATCCCCAGGTAACACACGTCACAGTGTTACTGCCTTCGTTCAAGTCTGTTAATGTATTTTAAGAGTGACTACAAGTTTGTTACTGTGATAGGTACCTGATCTTTCTCTCTCTCTGTCTTAGATTTAATATTTTGTTTAAAGGAAATGTGTATAATAAATATGGAATATGATTATTTGTCTATTTTTATTGTAGGCCGAGTTGAAACAAGACGAGAATGGCAAATTAAATCTTCGCCTGTAAGTTTTAATCATCAGCTGTGTAGAATAATCACTGGATTTCACCCCTTTTCCTCTCTATGTATATATCGTAACATTTCCTTATATAATGACAATAATTTACTTTATGGATGAAGTCACCTTCAAAGGTTGTGCAATCGTACATGTATACATATATTTACTGGTAGGGTATAACAATCTATTATTAACTAATGATGCTACAGGACTGGACTACACTGACTCCTAGCTTAGAATTAGGGAGTTAAGTGGTAGGGCACGTTGACCACCACCTCATTTATTTGGGAAGTTGCATCAGCGAATGCCACCGAGTTGATCTCTGACGAAATCTCAGCACGGATACAGAAGGCTCGTTTGGCTCGTTTCGTATGCCAACTAACGCCATCTGTCGCGTAGACGTGATACTACACGGCTGTCGAGCAAAGATCGTGGGTGTCTGTGTTCTATCTCCCGTGTGAAGTGGTATAGTAGGGTAAGCAATACTGAAATTGGACATCGAGTGCTAGGTAGGGAGGGAAGTCAATCGACGAGGCTGTGAAGCTACGTCGACTGACATGGTTAGGACGTGTGTTATACAAAGACAGCCAACCAGGTTTTTCATGTCCTCTACTCTCAATGGCCAGGTCTCACAGCCGTAAACGAGGACGGAACGGACTGTTAAGCAGTACACATGCTCTTAGGTTGACAGTCGTGTAGTATCATGTCTACGCGAGAGATGGCGTTAGTTGGCATATGCCAAACGAGCCTTCTGTATCCGTGCTGAGATTTCGTCAGAGATCAACCCGTTGGGACTGTTGCAACTCCCTAAATAAGCGAAGTAGTCAATACGCTCTACAACTTCACTGTCTATCTTTAAGCTTAGGGGTCAATGTAGTCCAGTCCAGTCCTGTAGCATCATCTTACATTTGACAGGAGAGGATTGCCTGCTAAACATTTACAGATTTCATAGGATATGACAAATTACAAAGAGTGACTGTATCTGCATCAGCGATTATAAACGATTTTGAGCCAGCCATATCACCAATTGTCTCTAGCCTTCATTGGTTCTTACCATCCCGAGTACCCAAATCAATAAGGTAGTCTACACTTCCCTAAGTGACTGGCTGGCTTTAAACTAACCGTTGACGATTTCATGGACTGATAAAGCCATGTTTTATTTTGACCACCACCACCACTGCCTTTTTTTTCTAACCTGATTGATCCTATGTTAGCTAACATTTCCGGTTGAGAAAAGAGGAGACGGCTAAGCATGAGTGTAGTAACACAACACATTTCCTAGCTTCTCCCCTTCTTTACCTAATATTCTTTGTCTAGCCTCAGTAATACTCACCGTATGATATCACCTAACACAGGAGACAGAACGTAGACAGCTATGGTCAAAGGTGGTAGCCAGCATACATTATTCCATTATGGGTAAATTTTTGTTTTGATAAAGTCTCACAGTGTTATACAGTAATGTTTACTGGTGCGACGACGTTTCGACAACAATTTATTACTACTGCTCACAATCATATCAAGACATTACTCACACGGCTTCCTAACTTCATTTATATAGTTCCATTATTTTTCACTTGATTTGATTGGCAGTAGTATTTTCCATATTTCAGGTATGAGTGATGAATCATTCCTATTGCATGTGTTTGGTGTAGACCCGATGAGCCAGGTCGGATTCAGTAATCAACGTCTCTCTCCACCTACATAGATTACTTCTTAGAATCCTAACTCTCTGCCACCCTATTGTGTGGTTGTGTGTTAATGCGTGCAGTGCAACTGCTGAGCTTTTTTCTGAATTACTTATCTTCGCGAGTGGGGTCAACCATCCTTACCTGAGCTGAATTCTTATGTTCCGACAATCTGACTACCCCTGACCTACTAGTTTGACCTATGTAGTTGACCTCACAGTCATCGCAGGGTATTTTGTAAATTATATTATTTTGTCTAATTGGGTCAACCGACTGGATCCTTTAACCAACAGAGCTTGTCCTACCTGAGTGAGTTTGTAGGTTTGAATGCCACCCTAATTCCTGCTTTATTTAGAATCCTACGTAGGGTTTCAGATGTCCCCTCTTTATATGGTATAACTGTGAATGACTTATATTCTCTCTTATTTCTGTTATTATTAATAGTTTCACAATTTTTTTTTATTTTTCTTTCGGCCTTTTTCGATCTTCCTAGTGAATTTCATAGGACAGTTATTTGATGCCAACGCCTCTTTTATCTGTTTTAGTTCATCATTTAGGTCTTTTCTTGTGCTACTTAGTGCTACTGCTTGGTTTGTTAAACACTTAACTAAGCCTGTCTTAACAGTCAACGGATGAGATGAATTAAAGTCTAAGTGTCTATTAGAATGAGTTGGTTTTCTGTACACACTAGTGTGTAGTTTACCTTCTTCTATTCGTTTTATTTTACAATCTAACATAGCTAATTCTCCTTGTTCATTTTCCGATTCAAATGTGAATTTTATTCCCTCCACTAGTGAGTTGATGTGTGTCAAGAAGCTAGAGATATGTTCTGTTTTTATTACTGTGAAAGTGTCATCCACATATCCCACCATACTTTTGGAGTAGGAGTAAACGTATTAAGAGCATTACTTTCCCAGCTTAGTCAAGTGTTTAACAAACCAAGCAGTAGCACTAAGTAGCACAAGAAAAGACCTAAATGATGAACTAAAACAAATAGAAGAGACTTTGGTGTTAAATAACTATCCTTTACAGTTCATCAGGAAGATCGAAAAAGGCCAAACGAAAAATAAAAAAAAATTGTGAAACTAGTAATAATAACAGAAATAAGAGAGAATATAAGTCATCTACAGTTATACCATATAAAGAGGGGACATCTGAAACTCTACGTAGGATTCTAAATAAAGCAGGAATTAGGGTGGCATTCAAACCTACAAACTCACTCAGGTAGGACAAGCTCTGTTGGTTAAAGGATCCAGTCGGTTGACCCAATTAGACAAAATAATATAATTTACAAAATACCCTGCGATGACTGTGAAGTCAACTACATAGGTCAAACTAGTAGGTCAGGGGTAGTCAGATTGTCGGAACATAAGAATTCAGCTCAGGTAAGGATGGTTGACCCCACTCGCGAAGATAAGTAATTCAGAAAAAAGCTCAGCAGTTGCACTGCACGCATTAACACACAACCACACAATAGGGTGGCAGAGAGTTAGGATTCTAAGAAGTAATCTATGTAGGTGGAGAGAGACGTTGATTACTGAATCCGACCTGGCTCATCGAGTCTACACCAAACACATGCAATAGGAATGATTCATCACTCATACCTGAAATATGGAAAATACTACTGCCAATCAAATCAAGTGAAAAATAATGGAACTATATAAATGAAGTTAGGAAGCCATGTGAGTAATGTCTTGATATGATTGTGAGCAGTAGTAATAAATTGTTGTCGAAACGTCGTCGCACCAGTAAACATTACTGTATAACACTGTGAGACTTTATCAAAACAAAAATTTACCCATAATGGAATTATACTCTACCACAGTGTACAAGTTTTATTCTTATATCAAGCATACATTGTATAGGTTTTCGCGAACTATCCTCATTATTCCTTTTGATTTCTAACTATTATGATTGTATTAACGTATTACGTTTGAGCTGCACAATGTGACTGTTTCCACCACCCACGCACCCATCCTCGCTGTCGCCGTCTGATTGATTGTTATCCATTATTTTCAATCCTACAGATTTCTACGTCATGCAATTGAACTTTTCCAGTTGGCTGTACAATCCTATACTCCGTTGTTTATCAATGATACATCGAATAAGAATGGAGAAACTGTATTCAAACAAACTGTTGAACGGATCTTCTCTCAGTTATCTGTGTTGAAAAAATATTCCTATCAGACTATCGGTTCGTCATCATCTTCACTGGAAGTAACTTTACAATCACCATCTACAGATTTAACCCAATTAGACCAACCTGATGATAAGGAACTTGCTCAACTTATGAAGAAAATGCAGGATTCCATCAATAACTTATATGCAGATCTGTATGTTCTGGGCATTCCTTTCTTCCCCATTCGCTTTATTACTATTATTGTTATTATTTTAATGTTGTGTTTATGTCTGTTTATATTGTGAAGGTCAACAGGTCAATAATGTAGTTTTATGGTATTGCTTTTTAGTGTATGTTGTGTAGAAGTTTGTTTGAAAATAGCCATGCTTAGAGACGACTTACTATCGAAGAATCTATGATGGGGGTTCAGTCATGATTACTTGCTTCTGAGTTGTTAAGTTGCCTATTATTATTATTATTGTATGGAGGATTTCACCATGAGCTGACATCAGTTAGAGAACCACTGGAAAACCTGGGAGTACTGGACAGCTGTTTCATCCCGGTGCTTGGGACTCTTCATCAGTACGCACCCACCGGGGTTCAAACCCAGGACCTCCTGGTTACAAGGCTAGCGAGCAAGCTCGTAGACCATTGAGCCACTGGGACCCGATCCAATGGTTGTTGAATTCTAACTTCTGCCAGTTCACGACATAGCGCGACCACTTCGCAATGTCTTCCTCGATGGGTTACTCCCTCATCTTCGACCTGCTGTACCCTACTGGTCATGGCTTCCCACTAGAACCCCAGGTTAACTGCCTGAATAGGGCCAGTCGCTAGTGAACTATGTCGTGAACTGGCAGAAGTTAGAATTCAATAACCATTGGATCGGGTCTCAGTGGCTCAATGGTCTACGAGCTCGCCTTGTAACCAGAAGGTTCTGGGTTCGAACCCCGGTGGGTGCGTACTGATGAAGAGTCCCAAGCACCGGGATGAAACAGCTGTCCAGTACTCCCAGGTTTTCCAGTGGTTCTCTAACTGATGTCAGCTCATGGTGAAATCCTCCGTACAATCAAACAAAATCCCTACAAATCCAATACTTGAGTATTATTATTATTATTGTTCTAAGCTTTTGAATTCTTTTCTTTCATTCATATGGCTATTTCTTATTATTTTTCTATTGGATTTCGGATGGAACATAAGGCTTCAACAGCACATCTCCATTATTTCCCGTTCTCTTTGATCTTGCTCATCATCAGCTGGCCCCATGATTGCTCGTAAGCTTTCATCTCCTCATACGATCCTCCACCGTATCAACCTCGGACTCATATCCAACTTGATGTTTTTCATTCAGGTTCTACCGAAGGTTATGCCTGGCGGTTATTCGGGGATCTCCTCAGCCTGTCTCCATTTTCTTCGGGATATTTGTTGAGCAGTAGGTACCTTAGTTGGTTCATTCCCAGAGTTGCCTAATACTAATTCTTTGTCGGTCGTTGGCCATCTGATCTTCAAGATGAAGCCGGCGAAGGCAATTTTTGATGAAAGTCTGATCCATGTGGAAGGACTGACTTACTTGTCATTGGTGTTGAAAATCTGAATTTTGTTGTGTTCGCTCCGGTGGTATGCAGAATATGTCCAAATGGATTTCAGAGGATCAAGCAAAAAAAATCTTTGACAAATTTAATGATGTACATCCTGCAACAAATTTTTACCATCGAGAAAGAAAGAGACTGCAGTATTTCATTCCTAGACGTTCTTATGACTAGAAAAGGGGACGATACAATCAGAAGAAGTGCATATATAAAACCTACATCAACTGGTCAGTATATTCATTTTTACAGCTTCGTGCCTTTGAAATACAAACGCAATCTTTTGAAGTACTTAGCCCACAGAGCAAGAGCAATGTACTCTGACGAATGTCTTAGTGAAAAGCTTAATATTATTAAACAGTTGCTGAGAGTGAGAATGGTTATCCAGAAAAAAATCATCTGTAAAAATACGAATCAAATGTTAAGACAGGCCAGAATACCAACAGTTTTGAAAAAGGCATTGTTGTTTTTAAAAATTCACTTCCTTGGGGATAACATCAGTGAGATATTAACACAACGCCTAAGGAATGCAGTGGTAAAAAGGCCATTCAGTGCTGCTGAAATATGTCGTCTCTTCTGAACCACGCCTATTTCGCGTACGGGAGTTAAAGATAAACTTCCTAATATCACCTCTTCTCTGTGTATCTAACAGTTTGACTGCTCCTGTCGAGCATAGGGTGTACAATTAGGCGTGTTTATCGTCGGATTTCTGAACACCATCTTGCATAGTTAAGGGACAAACAAAGTCCATTCATATAGTTCCATAATATCTTATATTGTAGATACAGAACACATATTTGTTGAAACAAAGCCTTCTAAGTATGCAAACTTTAGCTTATATATATTGCTGAGGCTGGCTGTTGGGATCTACATTAACAAAACCTGACTTATGTACCCGAAAGAAGTTGGTTCAGACAGTATCCCCACCTTGGCCATCAAGGTTTTAATGTTCCTCAGTTTGTTGTGGAAATTCCCTCAATTTTATCTGCTATTCTATTTACTATTACATTTTTTTATGCGTATTTATAACTTCTGCATTATTTTTCAAAAGAATGGGTTTTGAATAAACAATACTGTTTTCGATAACTTCGTCATGATGTTCTACAGTTATATATGCATAATAGTGAATGAATAAATTAGTGTTATGAACAATATTAATATTGTTTAAATAACATCGAGTCAATGGATTACAGTTCGATAGTATCAGCATAAAAATACACTAAATATCAGAAAAATTAGGAAAAATACTAATACAAATTCATGAACTTGTGGTCTCCACTGAAGGCTAGCCAGGGCAGTGTAGTAGTGGTTGTACTTACTTTTTCTGTACACAGAGCACTAGTTGTTTCAGGCGAATCGTGATAGCCACTGCTGTTTGGAGTTTGTGGTACCTAGTTTTTTTGGTCATTTATTTGGTACCCGATAGATGGTGGAGAAGGACTCTTCAATTCTTAGCTTTATGGCTGGTTTGGAACAAGTGTTTTAATATCGCGCTATTAATACTTCTCAGTACACCTTAATTTAACCACACTGGTAGATGTCTCCGAGTGAGCACAAAAATCAAGTTGCTAGAGCAACGGCCAATTTAACGCTTTCCATTACAAGCGCAGTTGACTTGGTAGATACAATTATAAATGAATAGTCTAGCTACTTCATATTTCAATTGACGGATCACCATCGGTTGTGGAGAAAATATGACTTGTAGTTTAGTTTATTTATATTATTATTATTTCCTTTAATTCCTAAAGAACATAGGGCTTCAGCCGCTCGTCTCCATTGCGTTCGGTTCTCTACTAGAGTTTTCACCTTGCTCCAAGTCTGCCCACATGCTTTCATCTCCTCTTCACACGACCTCCTCCATGTCACCTTCACAATAACAACCAACTCGCCACTTCCCATATGTGTTCCACTCAAGAGCATGGCGTGTGATGTCACTTGATGGTTTGTTTTCTTAGAGTATGGCCAATCCACCTCCATTTCTTCCTGCCTATTTATTGCACAATTGGCTCCTGCTGTGTTGATTCGCTCCCAGAGATCCTTATTGCTGATCTTTTTTGGTTAGCCATCTGATCTTGACTGGTATTGAGTGAAGACAGCTGTTAATGCAGGTCTGTAGTTTGTTTGAGGTGCTCTTTATGACGCGCCAACTCTCTGATCCATATAGTAGCACTGACTTCATATTGGAGTTGAATATCCGGATCTTATTTTTGATGCTGAGTGCTGCTTACCTCCACACAGACTTGAGTAGTTTAGTTTAAACCCGGTAAATGCCGGCATTATTGTAATCGCAGAGCCGGAAGAGGAGACTATCGAAAAGAAATATTCTTTGCTCAAACTTCCTTTTGATTTCATAGTGATATAAGGGTCTGTCTTGACTTTCCGATCCCGGTTTCGATATCCTTATTCACGTCGACTACCTGCAGTCGAAAAAACGCTTGTTGTGCCTAGACAAGTGAAGAAAATGGCTTTCTTCTTTCAAATTTCTCCGGTTGTTAGTGATTGGTGCTCTGTGGTTATTCTTTGGTTCGTTATCTTCATCACCTCTGTCTTCTCTATTTGTTTTTTAATGTCATTCTACATTATCGATCAAGAGGATTGAATATTTTTTTGGACACTAGTAACTAGTGTGACGTGTCTAGTCCTTTCTTTGGTCCTACAGAAGGGAAATTGCGAACCCGAATAGCTCAGTGATAACGTCTCTGACTGCAGCACTGGGTGACGCGGGTTCGAATCTCAGTAGGATGGACATGAGTTCCTCCAAGGTTGCCAGATACGCATTGATGACTGACTGGCGAGTGCCAACTAGCACAAAACCTAGGTCGAAGGCTTCCTGTGGCCGATTACCTCCAACTATCTAATATCAATAAATCAAGGATTGAATATCCTCAATGGACAATTGATTTGTCTTATGATTTCATCAGCTGCATCAATTGTCTCTGCAAGGTTTTAACATAGCATGTTTATTGATATATTTTTTTTGTGCCTCATTTCCCACGTAAACCAGTGGAATATAAGTCTTCAAGCATACATAACCTTTGAAGTATTACTGGCAGTTTACACCTCTTCAGCGGTGTTATTGTCTAAGGTATTCACACTTTTATATTTGACTCCTTATAGACAGAATGAATGGCTTCAAGGATCCTATAGACAATTAAGTCTTCGCCAGATTGAAATGACTGATTCCAAGTCTTCGCGTCCCTGTCTACCTGATCATCAATCATCAAATAAGAATTCAAACAGTATGAAGGATAAGATCTATGAAAGTTTTGATAAATTTCTGGAGGATTCTCAAGATGAGTCAAATGGTAGTGAGGGTGGTAGTGCATCGACATCATCGATTTCAATTGGCCTTTCAGACAGTGTTCACATGAGTCAAATATCACCAGGAAAATGTAAGTTCTGTTTCATGAAAATGTGATCTGTTTAGTTTGTTTGTAACGATTAAGACAAGGGCTAGGCAACAGATGGTTGTTTATTGAAAAAATCAACAGACATTTATTTTAATTTTTTTGTGCGTCGGTGGCACAGTGGTTAGGACTCTCGCCGACCATGCACATGGTCCGAGGTTCGATCCCCCCTGCCGACGCACACCTGATATCTATGGTCGGCCTCTGAAATTTGGGCTACCGATATCCATGCTGAAAATTCCATACTTGTACGAAAAATACAGTGTGGAATCAAGCTGTAATCAAAAAATAAAAAAAAATCAACAGATATTTATAGATTTTTATGCACATTATTATTCGTTATTTGTTAGCAGAGAGGAACAGCGTCTTCTGACTGTTTGTTTTCCTGCCGAAGGTTATCCTGTCATCTCTTTGTTGCCGTTTCTTAGACAGTCCTTTGATGTACCCCGGCCGACAACTTCTACCTTGCCGTGGTGGTCGAGCTTGAATACCTCAGTGACCCAACAATATAAACTGGCTGGGACTCATGTTCCTGTCTGTCTGTCTGTTTTCGACATAGAACTTTGCACAAATGTGCGGAAGTTCAAGTCGCCACATTCCGTGTAGCACGCGAAGCAAGAGAAGAAAGTACAAGAAAAGCATAATAGAAACAGTGAGCAGAGGTGTGAGACAAAGGAGTAATAAAGAAATACAAAACAATTTCATTGAAGATCATAAGTCACAGGGAGTGGATGCATCTGCGCTGGCCACTGAGAACGATTTTGAGCCATGTCACCAATTGTTTCCAACCATAGATTTTTGCCGTCCCGAGGACCCCAGCCTGGAAGTCTACACCTTCCTACGTGGCTGAGACCAACTGTTGTGGATTTCATTGACTGATGCCAAGTTTTTGTTTGACCGCCGCTAGCTTTTTTCCAGCCTGACCCTATATCCGCTAACATAGCTCGCCGAGGGAGGCGATGACTTGGCATACGTAACACATGTCCTAACCATCTCAGTCGATGTAGCTTCACGACTTCGTCGATTGATTTCCCTTGTTTACCTAGAACTCTACGCCTAACCTCCATGTTGCTCACCTTATTATGCCACTTTACACGGGAAATAGAACGCAGGCACCTATGATCAAAGGCAGCTAGTCTTTTCATGTCTTCCACTCTCAGTGGCCAGGTCTCACAACCATAAAGGAGGACGGAGCGGACTGATGAGCAGTACACCCGCCCTTTGGTCGATAGTCGAACATCTCGTCTACGCCAGAGTCGGCGTAAACTAACAAATGCGAAACGAGCCCCTTGTATTCGTGCTGAGATTTCGTCAGAGATCAGCCCGTTGGGGCTGATGGTACTTCCCAAATAAGTGAAGCGGTCAACGTGCTCTACCACTTCATTTCCTATTTTTAAACTAGGCGTCGATGTAGTCCAGTCCTGTAACATCATCTTGCATTTGGCGGGAGCGAATCGCATGCCAAACATTCGTAGATTGCGGCTCAAGGTGTTTAGAAGACTCTGCATTTCGTCAGCGTCTTCGCCTAGAAGGACTATATCGTCTGCATATTCCAAGTCAACGAGATTATTCCCAGGTAGCAAGTCAATCCCTGAATCGCTGAAGTCACCTAGGGTTAAGTCCATTAACACATCTATGATGAAGTTGAATAGAAAAGGAGATAATGGGCATCCTTGACGGACACCACTGGTCGTCATCAGTTCAGATGACAGCTCGCCGTAAGCCCTCACCTGGCTGTATGAGTACGAATAGAGTGCCTTAATCAGTGCAATATATTTTCTTGGAATTCCCTTTACAGCCAAGCATCTCCAGAGAACTTCCCGATCGACAGAGTCGAATGCTGCCTTTAGGTCAAGAAATATAATGACTGTTGGACGCCGGTAGGAATGCCTATGTTCTAGAATCTGTCGGAGGGTGAAGATATGAACAATACACCCTCTTCCTGGTCTAAAGCCTGCCTGGCTCTCTCGTGTTTGTGCTTCCCGAGCACCACTCAGTCTACGCATGATTATTGAGCCTAAGACTTTAGATACTATATTAGTCAAGCTAATCCCTCTGTGATTATCGCAGGAAGACTTGTCTCCCTTCTTGTATATGGGGATAATCAGTGACTTACACCAACCCGATGGGACTTCTTCTGATTCCCAAACGCTGCCTAGTACCTCAGTTAATCCGGACAGTAAGCTGTCTCCACCGTACTTAAATACCTCTGGCGTCATTCCATCAGGTCCCGCTGCTTTGCCTAGTTTCAGATTGGTGACAGCTTTAGTAACCTCAGTTAGTGACGGAGGACCTGTATCTATATCCCATTCAGGGAGGTGTTGGATGCTCGGAAGGTTGAGCGTGGCTGTGGGCAAATTAAACTGCTCCTCATAATGCTCTTTCCAACGATCCAGTCGTCTATCCTGTGAGCTAATTATAGTGCCATTTTTTTCCGAGATTGTCTCACTAATGATTTGTCTTCTCCCACCCGTTTCCCTGATGAGTCCAAAGAGTTGCCTGGTGTTGCCTATCCTCAAAGCTTTCTCCATCTCTTTGGCTTTTGTCGCCCACCACTGTTCACGGTCCTTGCGGAGACTTTTCGTAAGTTTCCTCTTGTGCAGCTTTCGCTCCTCATTGAATTCGGAGCTCGCCGGAATAAGTCTTCTAGCATCTATCTATGTTCCTGCAGGTCCTCCCATGTCAGGAAGGTTGTTTGGATAGCGATTAGACTAAAAGCAGTTACCGTGGGGTACATGGGCTCTAGAATCCAATGGGATCAAATGGCGCATGAACCCATATTGGTCACCGGCAACCATGGAAATGCAGCTCTTGACACTGTTCCGTTGCCTTGCGGATTAGACTCCAAGTCAAAGGCTTGCGGGGGTGGTCCCTTAATAAAACCATCTGCTTCGGTCTGGATACGCGGGCAGTATCTCAGCCCTCACACAATAAATGAAATGAAACAATAAACTATCACTGAAACTTATGGCGCACTCGTAACAGCGTTTATGTATCTGTTAATCGTATTTGCACACATTAAGTCTGCTGTGATTGTTTGTTGAGTTCCTCAAGGTTAGACTCTGTTCTTGTTTTTTTCTCATGACTCCGATTTGGGACGCAAACATTGACGTAAATTGCTGCCTACAATTGCGTCTTGCAGGCAGTTCTCACCACAGTAGTAGTAAGTAAATAGTACGTAGTGTTCTTTGTTCGGTACGGACTGTATTCTATCATCATTAGCTGACATTGAAAAATCACCTGGGACTACTGCCAGACAGTTGTTGTGTCCGACTAGGTTGAGAGAGACTCTTCGGCAGTACACATCCACCCGGGGTTTGAACCCACGATATTTCGGTTTCCAGGCGAACTTGTAGATCGTTAAGCCACTGTGACCCGATCCATTAGCTAGCTCATGAATTCCAATTTCTCTCACTTCACGATATTATATAATGCGACCACCAGCCAATGTCATTAGGGGCAGGTATTTGTCCTCACCCGACCTGCTGTGAAGTCGTGACCATTAGTAGGGTAATAATTATCGAAGGTTCTGCATATATATATATATATATATATATATATTCAGATATTCTCCTTTCAATATTGTCATTGGATGGAGATAAGTCATTGGGGGACGACCGACCAGCAAGCAAGTACTCCGTCATCTTAAACTGCTGCTTTATTAACTTATTCAAGCGTTATGAGTCTATTTTTATAGCAGTTCACCCGTCGCCAAATATTATTATTTTGCAACACGTTGAGTTGAATTAGGGATGCCTAGAGCTTGTCTAGGCCAACAGTGTGTATACAGCGGCTAGCCAACCTCTCAGACCTCAGCGTAAGCGAGAGCGTACCAAAGATGTGTTGAAAAGTAACTGTATATTTACATAATAGAGTATAATTCAAAAAAAGTCGCCGAGGAGATATGTCAAGTTCAAACAAAGCGAAATGTTTGCATACAATGGTAGAAAAGTTACATAATATAGACAAAAGGTAAAATGATGAATAACTAATACATTGAGTAACAAAATACTGAGTTCAACTCAAACCATAGAAACAAGTTACACTGTATCAAGGGGAGGGGTGAGGTTAAAGTTAAACATTACGTAATCAAGTGAAAGAGACAATATAGACATTCAGTCATGAGATTGAGCAAGGAAAGACTGATATCTATTGCCTTCTGGACACATAACTTGGATTTCTGGCGTCTGATAGCGACTGCTTTGGCGAATATATAAGGAGAACTGAACTGTTTTGCCTAGTTAATTGAATTTTAGATTTTCCCGTCGATTGATTGGACGGAAGTGCCCGGTCTCAGGTTGACATGTCGGCTTCTTGGCACTGGGTTCGAGCCTCGGTGGGAACGTCATCAGTCACTGAGAAATGCAGGTACATTTAGATGGCGAGTCCCAAATAGGACAAAATGCTCATCCTGGACTCCACTGCTAGTCACCATCCACCAATTAAATATTTTGCCTATTGATAATTTCCAAAACATTGCATTGTTTCCACTTCATGATCACCCGTATTAATGAGATGTCTGTCAATGACACTAGTGAAGTTGTTTGTTCCCTTGAGACGTAAGCTTTTTAGAACATGTTGAGAAAATCGAAGGTGTGTGCCTGTCTTTTTGTTCTTCCAATGTAAATTTATGTGTAAAGTGTATCTGTCGACTTTTGATTGCACCAAAAGAAGAACATGTTGTCCGATAAGTGGGGGAACCAACATGGCCACAGGATAGGTTCTGGGTAGTGCAATACTCAGACTTCTGTTGAGTGATCCTGCTACAATGTATTATCACCTTTAAAATCAAATTAAATGGAGATAAGCTTTCGCTCCCACCTCATTGGCATTTAAATCTTCCGTACATCTTCCTTAGTTGTTAGTAAATTTCTCTGGGTAACCGTTGTTTTTTCAGAAATTCTTCTCCTCTAATTTTTCTGTAGAACATTTTCTCCTGACTCTATAAAAAAAGAGGCAGTTTTGACCAGTGCTCGTTTGTAGCTATTTTGATCTAATTTTACAATTTCCTTTTGTTATTATTATTATTATTTCAGCATTAGACGGGAGTATTTGTCAATCAGATTCACGTATGAATTCTACTTGTACCTCACCAATGGAATCTTCATCATCCTCATCAGCAGGGGATAATAATGACTCAAATGCTGCATCAAACAATGACAACAGTATGAATAATACTATCTCAATTGACAGTGATAATAATAATAATAATAATAGTGAGGAGAATAATACAACTGTAAATGTGTCCTTATCTCCTGAAGAGCATTCATTCTATACAACCCCAAAGTATTTTAACTCTTCTCCCTCTTCTTCTTCTACTTCTTCGTTCGAACAACAGGAAGTGGAAAATGATTTACAAAAGTTAAGCATAAATCCAACAGATACCAGTGAGTTTTTCATTCATCTTGCTTTGAGTGTGTGTGTGTGTTGGTTCGATGAAAGGAATTTGATTGGATTCAAGTGTGATCTGAACAGCTGTTTCGCCCCTGTTTACGACTTTTCGGCATTGCATACCTATACCATCCATTGCTAGGGATCGAACCCAAGGTCTTTAGGTTACAAGGCAAGCTCGTTGGCTGTTGAGATGTAATCCAATGGCCTGTTATCATTTGTCACCTGTGCCAATTCGCAATGTATAGAACGACCGCTAGCCAGAGTTAGGATTGATGGATCACTGGGTTCCGTCTTAGTGGCTCAACAGAGTATACGAACTCGCCTTGTTGTAACCTTAAGTCCCGGAATTGATCCCCCGTTAGATCGTGTGTGTGTAATGGTGAGGAGTCGCAAACTGAGACGAAATAACTATATAGTACTTCTTGGTGGTTTTTAATGTTTCTCTAACTAAAACCATTTTGGGGATGCAGCTTGGAAAATTGATGATTGTTAAGATTGCAGAGATTTCGAGCGATGTACTACTTCTTTTTATCAGGATAACAAGGTACTTGCAATCAGTTGGTCCTGGATTCGAATCTTACCTTTCCTATTTCAATTTGGGCATTCGGGTAGTAGTAGGCATCGGCCTTCACATGATAAGTGTGTCTCTCGTAGTCCAGTACCGCCTGGTCACAGAGTTCTAACCGGTTAACTTGTTAACAGAACGCCACACGTTTTGTGTTAGCTACTCTGTGTTTTAATTTTTCAAATCTAAACATTCTTTACATATCTCACTAACCTGTATAGTAAGTAATTTTGGGGGTAATTCTGCCACATGTGAAGAATGAAGCTTCAGATCTACATTTTACGGACATATTCCAGAGACTGAGACTGAGATATAGTACATTGTAATCGACTGCTTATGGTTTGGGAGATAACTCGTCTGTTCCACTAATGACGGATTTCAATTTTAATCACAGATTGATATTGGTTGTGGAAACATTGTAAACCAGGGAGTACTGGGTCCAGTAGCTGAATGGTCTATGAGCTTGCCTTGTAACCCGCAGATCCTGGGTTGGGTTCAAACCCTGAGAGTGGGAAAGTACTACTGATGAGTTGTAAACTTGTGTGACGAAACAGTTGTCCAGGACTACCTGAAGGTTTCCGATGGTTCTCCAACTGATATCAATCGGTGGTCAAATTTGAAACTGTATTCACCGATCGCTAGGGTGTGTAACCAGTTTTATATGTCTTCCTGAAGTCCTTAATGGTGGCGCTAACTGGATTCTGTCAGTTACATCGTCAAGCTAAGCGACTCTGCGATTTGGTGAACTTTGAATTGAATGTATTTGATCATACTTAAGGGCAGACAACAGCAGGCCCTAAAACTTGAGTTTCATGCTTTTTGTCAATCCTCAGCTAGTCGTATCTGGTATGTTGTAGGAAATTATGTCACCTTTGGACATGAGCTGTAATCATAATAATTTCGAGATTTGGTTTCGATACTGAAATGCTGCAATGAGTAACTTGAGTGTGAAAACCGCCAATACTTCTTTCTGCTTTCCTTATCCTACTGGGAAAAATATGAAGGACAATACTCGTATGCTGGTATAAGTAACACCTCCCCTTCAATAAAGAAAAGAATGCGTACAATAAAACTATTGCCTCACTTTTTTCGAGATAACCTTTTTGTTCAATTTATTTCTTTTCACAAGCTCACATGTATAATAACAAACGTTAAATGACTTTATTTCTAAAACACTGAAAATGCCCATTGAATCATGAAGAAAAATAAAAGACAATTCAGCGAAGTAAATTTTCTTTATCGACGAAATCGTTTTCACAGACTGTAAAATCGTCTTTTTATTTGCCTGGAAACGTGCAGTAGTCCATTTTTGAGTAATATAGAAGGGAGGGTGGCAGCTGAGGTCCTGAAGAACCACTGAGAAAAGCTTTCTCTTTCCAACTGAGCTACAGATCAATTTCTACAGTTGACAAATGATCAATAGGTGTGTGTGAATGATAAACTACCGCTATGGGTCAGTTCAACATGTGTTTATAAATTCACTTGTTCCTGTGGAGCTGGTTAGTTATATTAGCCGCACATAGCGCATACTTTCCACACGCATCTCTGAATATTATCCGGCACGGTTAACAAAAGGGCAATAAAAGACAATTACTAGCTCAATTCTCGACCACTTGGTGAACTCTGGTCATGTAGCTCCACCAGAATCTTTTAAGACTGTGTACAGGGTGAGACAGAATGGTCCAAGGGGTAATAGGTTTCTTCATTTGTGTTTGATGGAGGCTCTCGTGACTCATCAATACAACCCCAATCTCTGTGTACCAAAAACGTTTCTCCCGTCTCTTGTTCTACCCATTGTCTTAACGTCTTCATTAGTCTTTCCCTGTAAATTTTTTTTTTTGTGATTACAGCTTGATTCCACACCGTATTTTTTGGTACAGGTATGAAATTTTCAGCATGTGATATCGGTAGCCGAAATTTTACAGGCCGACCATAGATATCAGGTGTGCGTCGGCAGGGGATCGAACCTCGGACCATGTGCATGGTCGGCGAGAGTCCTAACCACTTTGGCACCAACGCACAATTTGTAGGTGATTACTTTGCTTTTGCTTTCATAATTAATTCACTATTATCACTCTCATATATTCCTTTTGTACATTTTCGCACCCTTTTCACACTTGTTAAATGAATGCTCAACTACCTTTCTTCTCACTCAATAAAAAATTTAGCCTTATCAAGTTTCTAACACTTACGTTGAGTATTACATAATTTCTAACTTTTATTTTTACTTTTGAAGCCACTTCTGAGTAATTATTTCAGTTATGTTTCTTCCCCTGTATTACTCACTAATGGATTACTATGCGTTTTCAGCAAATACAAACACGATTGTACAGCCTGTGAAGATAATTTCGTCAATAGAGAAAAGTTTCTTTGATGAATTCATCTTCTGTTTTCTTCAAAACTTAATTTCTTTTAAATATACATCAGTTTTACGACAAAAGAATTATTAAAAAAAAAGAAATTTTCAAGTATTGGTTTTGTGGGGATTTCGTTTGATTGCATGGACGATTTCGCCATGAGCTGACATCAGTTAGAGAACCACTGGAAAACCTGAGAGTGTTGGATAGCTGTTTCATCTTAGTTTGGGACTCTTCTCAGTACGCACCCACCAGTCTTGTAACCAGAAGGTCCTGAGTTCGAACCCCGGTGGGTGTGTACTGATGAAGAGTCTCAAACTAGGAGAAAACAGCTGTTCAGTACGCCCAGCTTGTTTTCCAGTCGTTCTCTAAATGATGTTAACTCATGATGAAATCCTCCATGCAGTAAAAAAGAAATACTGATCTCATTGATGTAATCCCTTTTTAAATTTTAGTTCATTCAAAGCCGCCACCTCAACTGTCTTCATCTTTCCAAAATCTTCCCGATATAAGTGAAGAAACTTGGAAATTTTCATTCCCCACAACTAAACCGTCGTCTTCTAGTCAATCAAATGAAAAAGGTCATTGTGTTTTAAAAGACTTCTCTAATATATCAAATTGTCTGTTGTGTAAGTTCAGTTCAGTTTGGTCCATTTCTATTTTTTTATATTTTATACAAACTGTAACAACAGAAGACAAGGGCCAGAAAACAAATCCTTTTTTAAGGAAATCAACACGTATTTATATATTTTATGTACATTATTATAGCTTATTCAAGCAGATAAAAACACAGTCTTCTGATTGATTGTTTCTTACGGAAAGTTGACCTTGCGTCTCTTTGTGACTGTTTCTTGAATGTCCGGTCATCTATATATTAACTGTATATGTCTACGCCAAGTGTGCTCTGATTGGTTGTTGAATCAGTCTTGTTCATATTTTCTCACCACTAATATTTGCGATATACTCATTGTATTTATTATTTATTTAAACGCATAAAAACTTGGTACAATATGGCACCAAGATGGACGTAAAGTGCTGTCTACCATTTTTGGCTAGCCTGCTCTCACCACAAAACCACCTCAGTTTAACATACAATCAATCGATTCCCTTTATTTAGTTTGTGATTAACAGAAGAAAGAAAGTAAGAACGTATAATATATTTGCAGTTGTAGGAGACTACGAGAAACATAAATTCCAAAAATTTTGGGAGTAGACGAATTATTAAGTGTTAAAAAACTAACTATTTGTACTATAATTAGACAAGTGAAGAGGTAGAATTCAGACAAAAGGTCAAGTTAAACGTTAAGCACCCATAACTACCAGTTCAGCGAATGACCTCGAATGGTTCAATGAAGTTCATGCACGTGAGTTCAAGGTATTATAGCGCTTGATTCGTTTCGAATGAGTGTTCTAACCGAGTTACGCTTGCAGTTCGAGGAGGGTAAGGTTTTGCAGTATAGCCTGGATTTGGGGTTGCTGAAGAGGGAGGGAATTTGTTCATGTGGTGGTGTGATGAGTTTAAAAAGCTTTAGCAGGTCGATCGTTGTGCAGTTTAGTTGAGACGAGTAAGCTGGTAATTTTAACATTTCGTAGGGACATTTTGTGCTCGGTCGCAGATTTTGTATATTTGTAACTACTGGGTTTCAAAACAGCCTGTGAAAGGCGCAGCGGCTGAAACCGAGAATAGCCTCATGTCAACAGTTCAGTGGTACTAGCACTGCAGACACATCACCTCATTGAAAAATGGAGAGAATTACTTCGTTGTTTGGTGGAGAAGGCATCGTCATGCATGAGAAGGAAACTGTGTTACTGAAGAAAGCATACAACCGTGTTTGTTTGGGTGATCAGTTTATACGACACCTCCCTACGGAAAATATTCGTGAAGAGAATACCAGACAGGAAGTTAACTACTTTAATATCTATTATCACTAGACTTGTGAAATAGGGATCCATAGTACATACTGATGAGTGGAAAGATTATAACTCACTGTCATCCCTTGGATATATTCACCACAGAGTGAACCATTCCAGTGATTTTGTGGATCCCATTACAGGGACACACACAAATCCTATAGAAAGATTTTGGGGAAGATTGAAAAACAGGATTAAGGCTATCTCAATAGGATCTCATTTATAGTTATTCGGATGAATATATGTACAGAATGTGGTGTGACTTTTCTATGGACACTCCTATGCTAAACTGGGAGATGTTTCACATGTTAAAGAAAGATACCCTATGTAACAGTTCTATGCAGTTTTTATGCTTTGTTTTCCATAAATATACATTTTCCTTTATCAAAAATCCCTCTTTCATGTGATTATTCCGTTGAACGTCGTTCGCTAATTGGTAGTTAGTGGTGCTTAAAGTTTAACTTTGTCGAGACAAAATACCAGATCACATACAACAGGAGTGAATTTATACACACTGCAATGGAGAGTTCATTAAGGTGTGTGTGTGGGGGGGGGCGAGTAGTCAAGTAACATTATGACATAGACGAAATAGTTAAGTAGATTTGAAAACTTAATACTAAGTTCAACTCTCAGTAAGGGAATATAAAACAGTAGTGAGAGACTAGTTATGCTATCTTTCTTCCTTCTATCTTCCCGGCCGACGCACTCCGCTTAACCTCGCCTGGATTATCAGCTCGCTAGTTTTCTAGCCTCGCTTAAACTACTAGCTTGCTAGTTTTCTAGCCGGTCCCAAGCCCGGATAAAGAGGGAGGGTTGGGGCGTGGTGCTAGCAACTCCACCCTCAAAACTCAAACAAACCGCTACAGAAACTTCAATGCACCAATATATTAAAAATTCTTCTGTATATACACAGGTTGGGTCAAAGTCCTTTGACGCAATAGCCTCTGTGAAACGATGGTAACTATGGTCTTCTTTGTGTTATGTGATGATTTTGAAGTCCTGACTAATTTCCACTGTGTGTCCCGTGTGTGTCAATTATATGTCTCGAGAATAGCACTTGAGACCTACTTTGCTGTCTTTCAAACGGAGACTTTAAGAGATATGCTCTGAAAAAATCTAGTTAGTATACGCCATCTTCTCAGTCCTGCCTGCCACGAATGTATTTGAATTGGTAAATGGATTTGGAGTTGAAATGAGCAGGAGGATATCTGCCTACTTTTGACTGGGTTCACGAACATACGGTGGTGTAAGTGGAATGAGTCTGCCGGTGGTGGGAAATAATCAGTAATGCACCCTCAATTTTGTACTCGGTTTCTTCCTCTTAATACACTAGACAGAGACTAGCAGCTGCCTTTGACCGTAGGTGCCTGTGTTTAGTAAGTAGTATAACATAGTGAGTGAGCAATATTGATTCTGGTTAGGCGTCAAGTATTTAGATAAGGAGTAAGTAGGAAAGTCAATCGATGATGATGGTATGAAGCAACACTGATTGAGGTGAGGTGGCTAGTGTGGCGTGTGACTCACTGACCAAAATTTATCAGTAGTATATATAAAAAGACGTTCATTGACACACAAAAATCTGATATAGCCGTGAGAGATGCACGGATTTGATGTCAAAGATAGAAAATGGACCAGTATGGCGCGGAGACAAAGAAACACAATATGAAGGGCAGAAGTAGCATTGTAACGACAGAAGACAAGGGACAGGCAACAGATCGCTTATTTAGGAAATCAACAGATATTTACAGATTTTCATGTACATTATTATACATTATTTAAGCAAACAAACACAGTCTTCTGATTGGTGGTTTCTCACTGAAAGTTAATCTTTCATCTCTCTGTGGTTGTTTGTTGAAGTTCAGATTATCTGTCTGCAAATTGTATCCGCCTACGCAAGGTGGTCTGCTGTGATTGGTTGTTGAGTCAGTCTTTGTTCTTATTTTTCTCATGACCAATATTGGGGACATACACATTGACGTGAATTGCTGTCTACCAATTCGGCTAGCAGCCAGCTCTCACCACAGCATAACACAGAAGATATGTGTAAATGACGGATTTCATATATGGTATACATAATTGCGAAATGACATCTCGTTACCAAGTCTCTTGTCTTTTCCCGTTACACTGGGAATAGGTGTTACGTATACCTAGCCATCGCTAACGTTCCATCGACGGGCAGTGCTATCTAACATATGATTAAGATGGTTAAAAGTTAGGGGCAGTCAAACCACAAAGCTTCACATCAGCCCATGAAGAGTCGATGACCAGTTGGTTTTGAGTCAGCCAGTCAGTCTGTTAGTCAATATAATATTCGATTACTCCCTCCTCTTGGAACAATATTCCCAATTACGTGGTGTAGTTATTATACATATATATGTAACAACAGAAGACAAGGGCCAGGAAGCAGATCCTTTTTTAAGGAAATTAACACGTATTTATATATATTCTATGTACATTATTATAGCTTATTCAAGCAGACAAACACAGTCTTCTGATTGGTTGTTTCTTGCTCAAGGTTATTCTGTACTGCTTGTGACTGATGTCTCAGAAAGTTAAGCCATATATCTGCGAGTCGTATTTGCCCACGTTAAGTCTGTTGTGATTGGTTGTTGAATCAGTCTTTGTTCATATTTTCTCACGGCCAATATTAGCGACATAGACATTGACGTAAATTAATGTCTTCCAATTGGCTAGCAGCCTGCTCTCACCATATATATATTTATATGACCTTGGCGGCCTGCTTAAATCTTGGGCTACCAATTACCTTAAACATTACAAATCATATTGCATCTAATTTCTCATTTCTAATTGATATTTTAATCAATAAATCTTATTCAAATATGACCTCAAATCGGATTATTTATTCTCGTGAATATCTAATATCTTTAAAACCTACTGATCTGCAACTCCATAAAAAAGACAAGAAAAAGCATCATGTCGGCTGGCAGAGAGCATTAAAAAATACCCCTATTCAATTCATGACTGTTCCCGCAATAATGAGTACCAATTGTCGCTCCCTGCCGGCTAAAATTAACTGTCTTCAATCGCTGGTGTCTTCCATTATATATCATAATACTGGGATCATATCACTTCAAGAAACATGGCTTCATGATCTATATGATGACAATCTTGTGTATCTAAATAATTTCAAACTATTCAGACAAGATCGATGTAGTTCCAGGAAGAAACGCGGTGGTGGTGTCGCCATCTTCATCAACTCACAATGGTGTACGTCTAATAATGTATGTTTCAAATTCTCTAGTGACAATATTGACTGTCTCACCGTTAAGTGTCGACCTAAACATTTGTCTAAATACAACTACATTTACATCTCGAACATGTATATTGCTCCTGGATGCAACTCCACAGAATTATCTTTATTTGCGGATGAATTTACTTCCCTTGCTGCCACCTCCTTCGGAAATTCCTTGTCTATAGTTACTGGTGATTTTAATTCTAGTGACCACAGCTTCCTAATTTCACTTGGACACGATAATATTGTCAACTTCCCGACTAGAATGGACAACACTCTTGACCTTGTTTTCACAAACGATGCAGGAATATTTGAAGCTCGAAAGAGAGCCCCACTACTAAATTCAGATCACTGTATCATAAGAATATTGCCCAAAGTATATGGAAAGCAGCACAAAAGAGTCTTCTCACACCTTGGAAAGAAAACACAACACAGATGTTATTCCCATGACAATATACTGAACCTAAGGTCCATGTTAAAAGACACAAACTGGGATCTATTTACTGAACAAGCTCTTGATAACACAATTGCTAACATAACACATTATCTTAATTTCTGTCTTGATGTTTGTTGCCCAAAAGAGACAATCTTCTTAAAATTCGATCGCTTCTCCTCTACTCAACTCAAAAAACTCCGCCGTGAAAAAGAAAGGTTGTTCAAAATGAAAAACAAATCTGGTGTTAAGAGAATGAACACTTTGATTAAGCTCGAATTACAAAGATTGAATGCTCTCTATAACCAGAAGTTTCTTTCATGTAAATCCCCATCAAATATGTGGAAGTTATTAAAGGAAATCACAGGTGGTAAGCAAATGTTGAATGATATTTCTGTAGATGTTAATACGCTTAATGAATCCTTCATATGTATTCCAGCAAATGTTATGATTCCAAACTCAAATAGTGTAAACAATGACTGCTTCTCATGCTTAAACACGAATGATGTCCTCAAGTGTCTTCAATCTCTCAAGCCTACTCAGTCCCTCGGTCCTGATGGTGTTCCTGCTGTTATCCTTAAGAGTGTGCCGACATCTTGTGTTCCCCGCTAACTGACATTTTCAACGAATCGTTTTCCAAAAGTATTATACCTGAATCATGGAAAAACATCAAGATCGTTCCAGTGCCTAAATCTACAAGTGGACCAAATGTTAAGTTTAGACCCATTTCAATTACCTCACCCTTTTTGAAAGTTATGGAAAGACTTATTTTACTTAATCTTGATCCCTCTTTAAAACCTTTCAACGACCCCAACCAGTTTGCTTATAAACATAGTAGGAGTACGTTAGATGCCGCTGTCGTCCTCCACCATAGCATAGTCTCTAGTTTAGATAAAGGAGCTAAATACGTTCGCTGTGCCTTCCTTGATTACACATCTGCATTTGACTCTGTTCCCAGGTCTCTCTTGCTAAGTAAGCTTGCTGCAACACAGGCTGAAAGCTGGACAAATAAGTGGTTGCATTCCTATTTTTCTGAAAGGAAGCAGTACACCGTCTACAATGGAAAATCCTCCACTACCTCACTTACTTTAGCTGGTGTCCCTCAAGGTGCTGTTCTTTCTCCCTTTCTGTTCTCGTTTTTCTTACATGACTTGCCTCATTCTGATGTAGCCACTTTTGTTAAATATGCTGATGACCTCTCGGTTTCTATGCCTGTCAACTCTCAGTCAGATTGTTCCAAATTAAATAGCTTTTTGTCGGAAATTAGTCAGTGGTCCTCTTCAAACGGACTTAAGCTTAATCCGTCTAAATGTCAGGTAGTCAATTTCAGTTTCAGACGTAAATGTGACCTACAGCAACTAGTTAGCTCACATGGCCCCACTCTCATTGACGGCACAGAGGTTGAAAATACATCTTATGTCAAGTACCTTGGGCTGAGTTTTTCCACCGATCTTTCCTGGTCTTCCCACATCTTGCTAGTTACTAGAAAGATGTTTCGCTTAACGTTCTACGTTAGGAATTTTAGGCAGTCTGGCATAAACCAGTCTTTACTTTCTCAGTTTGTAAATTCTTGTATTCTACCCATCCTCCTTTACTGCTCCCCATTAGTCTTTCCTGGACTACTTAAGAAAGACTTTGCTTCGCTGAGAAGAGCACTGAAAGCTGTTAGTAGGGCAAGCGGGATATCGTTAAACCAACTGGTGAACACTATTGTAGATAGACATATTATATCATGTAAGAAACTAGCAAATACAATATTGTCGGACCCCAAGCATCCTCTCTATACACATCTATCTCCTTGCATTTCATCTGGTAGAACTAGAAGCAGCTACAAGAGGCTATATGCTAGGACTACCAAATACAAAAAGTCCACAATACCATATCTGGCACAGCTGTTATGTGATGAGAAATCCGTTAGGTATGACACGATAAACTTACTGCGGCACTCTAACAAATAGTCCCATTACTTTTTGTTTTCCTTTCCTCGTTACTACTACACTGTTGTTCTCATTTACTACCACACATCAACTTTATATTTCAAATCCTGTGTTGCATTGTTTGAAATGAAATACTCTACGTTGTTTTTTTTCTTAATTTTAATATTTATTTATTTTATTTATTTATAACTTATTTATTTTATTTTTATTTATTTATCTTTGATTTTTAAAAATCTTATATAATTTATGAGGTAATTAGATGCAATATACTGTAATGCACGCTGAAAATTCCATACCTGTACCACAAATACTGTTTGGAATAAAGCTATTATTATTATTATTATATATCAACTTTTGTAATTTGAATTTTTAATCCTCCTTTTTTCTTCTTCTTTTTCTCTTTCTAATAAACAATGACGTAAAAGTATCTGTCCCTCAAAAAGTATCTAGAAAATCTTCGTCTAATCAATTAAAAACTAGTTTTAATCTAATGGGTAAGTCGATTGTTATTTTTAAGAGAGTAGAAATTGTGATAACAAGACTGCTGTTTAAGTGGACTGGTTTCAACGTAGAACTTTGCACAGATATGTTCAGCAGTTCGAGTTGCCACACTTCAATTAGCACACAAAGCAAGAGGAGATATGAGACAAAAAGAATAGTTATATTATATTATTATTATTATTCCTAGTGGAACATAGGGCTTCAACCACACATCTCGACTTTTTCAGCTTGGTCGACGATTGCCAGTAATCTCTTCTCCTCCTCCTCCTCACACGATCTCCCCTATATCACCCTGGGACGCCGAAATTATCGTCTCCCATTCGACGGATGGTCTGGCGCGTGGTGCTGTTTGACGGTCCCCCACTCCCTTAAGTGTGTGCCCAATCGATATCCACTCTCTTTTGCATATTTGTTGAGCAATAGGATCTTGATTACTTCGTTCTCAAAAGTTTCTTCTTACTAATTCTTTCTGGCAAGTCGGCCATTTAATCTTCCGTATGGAGCCACCACACACCGGATACAGAATTCCGACCAGAACAAGCTGGATTCAGGAAAGTCAGGCAAATCATGTTCTGATCAAATTGCGACTCTACGCATCATCATCACAGAACAAAGCATGGGATGGCAATCAAACCTCTACCTCAACTGTATACACTTTGATAAGTCCTTCGACAGAGTTGACCGCGAAGTAATTTGGAAACTACTCGAGTACTACGGCGGCGTACTGCAAATATTCATCAACCTTATACAACAGCTGTACAACAACGGCACATGTCAAGTCATCCACAACGGGAAACTCAGCAAGGCGTTTGGAGTAAACACAGGAGTCAGACAAGGGTGCTTATAATCACTAATGAATGATATTCCTAATTGTGGTGGACTGACTGGATTATGCGTCAGACAGTGGGAAACGAGAAGACAGGGATATCCTGGATGGACATGAAGAACCTAGAAGACCTGGATTTCGCGCGTGGATGATTTATGTTTGATGTCACACAAATTCGAAGACTTACAAGCGAAAACCGACAAACTGGTCGAAGAAGGAGCCGACGAAAACAGGACTCCAAGTGAACATAGACAAGACGGAAGTTATGAAAATAACCAGCCAACAACAACAACAGCAACATCCAGCGCCAATCCCCATCAACGGGAGGGATTTGAAAGAGGTTAGTTACTCCATTCACTTATCTAGGGAGCATTGTCTCAACTACAGGAAGTTGGAACGCACGAGGATGTCAAATCGAGCGAGAATCGGGAAGGCGAGAAACACATTCATCAACCATCATTACAAACCAATCTGGAAATCGTCACTCAGCATCAACAACAATATTCGGTCGGGTTTTCAATACAAACGTCAAGTCAGTCAGTTCTTCTATACGGATGAGAAACTTGGCGGATCACAAAGAATATTTCCAACAGCTTGTTGCAGACCTTTATCAACAACTGTCTTAGCTAGCTCTATGCTGAAGATCAGACAGCCGGGCTGGAAAGAATCACCAACAAGAAACTATGGGAACAAACTAAACAAAGCAAGAACCAATCGCCAACCAACAAATATGCAGGAGGAAGTGGAGATGGATCGGACACTCGCTGAGGAGACCGCTGGGTGACATCGTGCGTCAAACCCTCGAGTGGAACCCGAAAGGGAAGCGGCGAGTGGGACGTCAGTGCAAGGGTGATATGGAGGAGATCGTGTGAAGAGTTGAGGAGTTGAAAGAGTATGGACTAGCATGGATGCAGGTGAAAAGTACAGCAGAGGACAGAAGCAAGTGGAGACGTGTAGTTGAAGCCTTATGTTCCACTAGGAACCCAAGGGAACAATAATAATAATGGAGCCCCCGAAGGGATAAACTGTTGATAACAGTCTGGAATCTTTTAGAAATATTTTTCATGACATGACGACCAAGTTTCTAACCCATATGGAAGAACTGACTAACTTAACATTGATGTTAGAAATCAGAGGATTTCTAAACTGATTCAGAGTGATGAATGTCTGTGTTGTCTTTCTGATTTGATTATGGTTTCGACATCTTCATACATTCCACCTATGGTAATAAGTGACCTATTTCAAATTCCTTCCGGTGATAGTGATTGGGGCTTTTTATTGTTGTTGGTTGGCAGCTATAGTGACTACACCCGTCTTTTTTCGTCTGCAGAACTCTGGTTGTTTTAAGCAAACTGTCATGGCTCCTGTCTTTTTCAGCATTCAGTATCTATAGAAAGGCATTGGACAGTTTATGCGCTAGCTAATACTTGGTGCTTCACTGACGATGGCTCTCTGGTTTGTGTGAACGAAAACTCATCCAAAACATCTTATATGTTTGTGTACCCAAAAAGTGTCGTACTAAGCCTAATGGTACAGCCTGGTGACAAAATCCTCCTCAAGAGAGGAGGGAAGGTTATTTGAATGTGTGTGCTATACCGGTTTCTACGAAAAATCGAATTCTCTAACCAATCAATATAAGGGTTGGTGGCGCAGCGGTCAGGATGCTCGCCGACCATGCGCATGGTCCGGGGTTCAGTCCCCTCCTGGTGCACTCCTTTGTGTCACTAAGCCAAAAATTAAGTTGGTGAAGAGGAAAGGTTAAGCATGAGGCTAGCAGCAACCCCATCCTGTAAAAATAATCACCACTGCTACAGAAACTTCAGGCCTCTAGCTTGAAGCTGCCTTATGTTCCACTGAGAACGTCAAGGAATAGAAAAAAATCAATATATAAGCCACAGGCTGTACTTCATTATCCAACAGTAGAGTGATAGGCATATTTACCGAGTTTTCTTAATATCCTGAGAATTAACATATTCCATTTTGTGATTATTATTATTATCGTTCATATTTTTTTCATTTTTAGATGACGATTTAGACTTTGTCAATGATCTCCTTCCATCATCTCCAAATTAAATCTGTGCTGTACAAGTACACTAAAAGCATGTTATTTAATGTATTGATGATTTTGGAATTTATTACTATTATTATTAATATTACTACTTTGATAAATATATATATACTAAGTAACATTGGTGTTCAGTGTTATGATGGAGTGATACTGGGTAGTGGCAGGTTTGTGTAGCATGACCCGACATTATGGTCAGCAGGGCACTGACCCATACTGAGATTAACGCAACCGGAATGACCCTCTTTATTTGACAAAATATATGGTATGTATATTGTATTTACGAATTTCTCAGAAATTTAAGCCATAAATATATAAACAAACAAATCTGATTGGTTGTTGAACGTCGTCGGAATGTGTGATACACTTGTGATATCACAGATATATGGAAAATTCTACTGCCCATACAACAAATAGGAGAAGACAGAGAAAACTATAAAAATCAAATCTCGAGGTCGTGTGACAAAAATTGATATGATTATGAACAATAAATTGTGTTCGAAACGTCATCCAGTATACAATACTGTTTCACTGTGTGATACATTTAATAATCAAACTAATTACTTAATACCACAGTGCCCAAGTTTTACACATATATTGAAATGCAATTAACATATTTGTGATTATAATCATAGTTTAATGTCAAGTGGCAAAATAATTAATGTCATATATAGAATAATACATAAGGTATATAGATTTTGGAAAGGTATACATAATTATAAGATTAGTAGACGAATATAAAATGTTGCATAACATGGTGTGAAATTTGATAAGATAGAATTAAATATTGTAAAAATAAAAATAAAAAAAATTTAATAATCAAACTAATATGGAATTAAAAATAAAAAGTATAGAAATTAATCATTTTTGGTTTAAAATGACAAGTGGGTCAAGTGGAAAAGATTCAGAGTGAGAATAGTAATAATAAAAATAATCGTAGTAATAAGGGAAAGGTACATAGAAATAACTAAATAAGCCAAATAAATAAATGTCTATCCCTCTACGGCCAAGGCAGAAGTAAGGATTGTACGTACTTCTTTTGTACACAAAGGTCTGGCTTAAAGTCATGAATTGCCATGGCCTCAGCTGTCTTTAGAAGTCTGTAATGAAGAAAACGCGGGAAGTTAGCATGGATTCTGTATATGATCTTGAAATTGGGGTCAGGGTTGACCAAGTGACAGAAGTCGATCAGGTGTTCCAGAATAGAGCTTCGCACACACTTCCTTTCTCCCTTGTAAAACCATGCTGGAATATGTTCTCGTATCCGTGTGGAGAGCGTCCTCTGACTACGGCCAATGTGTACCTTGCTCCACAAGAGCAGGTGAACTGATAGATGCACATGGAGGCGGTCAGATGAGGGAGCTTATCTTGACCTTGACGGCATTTGCTCGGTTTCGTTGATTTGATTTGGAGCTAGTCGTCCAGGCATACGCAAAAGACGCGATTTCGGTGCTTATTTTGCTTTTGTTGGATGAATTTATATGAAAATTGTTGTTCGATATTGTTCTTGAGCATTCAGTGATTGCTTGTGTGACAGGACGCTTAAATACATGGTTCATGCAATGATTTTTTGGCATACCAAGTAAGCATCGCTTATATTTCGACGACTGTCATTCGATAAACTTCTTTGCAGCTTGACGGAAACCTGTACTCGATCGCAAATTTCCATGTCACCTATTGTGCAGCAGCTATTACTGTCGCAGGAACCGAATAATATGGTCGATATCGAATTTGTGCATCCTTCTGCACTTTTGCGTGGTGTTTTGATAACTGAAAGTCAATGGAATGCGTAGATACAAGCGAAAATTAATGTTCCTAAATGGGCAGAAACTTCAATGTTTTACGATCACCTATAACTTTCGCTGTTTTCTGCCAAAGTTTTTAAATGCAACATTTTAGTCATTTGGTGGGTTTGAATACCATTCTCGTGATCAGGTACGTAAAGACATCTTGGGTATATGTCATTTCGCCCCATTATAGAGTTTGGTTTCATAAACTTCCGATTTTTGTTATTGTCCTGGCGCCATATTATATGCGTTTTTTCGAAGTTAATTCTCAAAATTATTGTGAAACCGCGTAGAAGTATTGTCCGACATCTCTTCAATCCATGGACCGAAGGTATGAAAGTGTTTGCTGTATCCATTTAGGGAGGGCTCGTCGATTTCTGCAAGTAAAGGCTACGTATCATGTTCCTAAATGCCTCCAGAAGCGAATGTAATCTTCAGAAGCTATTAATGGCAAGAACAGGAAACCCAGCTCCTCTATTGCGAAACGTCTTACAGAGACAGGATATAGAAATGACGTTGGTACATTTTTAGACCTATCTGTAAAACGTGTTTGGATCGCATCCTAAAGTTTGTGGAAGCCCAAGTGTGATTAAGAAGTTTAAACCGCCTTTGTGAGTTCCAAAATTATTCGTCATCACACGAAACCTTCTTTGTTAAACTTCGTTTTGATACCAGTCAGGGTAGATGTATTAATGCCTCTGATATTTGGTTTAGTGAGCTTCATTGTTATTTTGGCCTTTAATATGCGATTTTAATTCCACCCAAATTTATGTCTAACCCCCTAACTGTATTAATTTCATATGTATTCCCATGACAAGTCCATGCGTAAGCAGATTGTCCAAAAGAAGTTGCACAAGTACAACACTACACGATTCAGACAAATTACGTCTTATTACTTCGCCTAAATTTCCACTTGTGTCAAAAATAGTGACTGATGTAATCGCGCATTGGTATAAACTTCCATTAATTCTTACTGTGCTCTCGTTAATATTATATTGGTAGTTATATTCATGTATACATCCTGTGAACCATTGTTTTCTTTTTTAGGTAATCTGTAGTTCCAGTGACCTCGTGGGATTCGTTGCTAAAGAAAGCGGTTTTCAGTACCGTTGATTTTGTATTTTGTGTTGAATCACTAACAAATGTATTCTCTATACCCTAGATAAACATTCTACTTGTTAATAGTCACAACTAACTTCATAGAATGTTTTGAGCTACAGAGTTAGGGTCATGCGTTGTATTGGGTAATGAATTTAGAAAAAACGTCCGCCCCTGAGGTATATTGTCGTGAATACGGAGTACATTCTCATTCTCGTGATAAATCTGTTAGCAGTAATTATTATCAGTACCTATATTTCGTAAGGATGGTATATAACAAAACGTACTAATTCAGTAGTCAGAGGTTAGAACTATCGGTTAAAATCGAAACAGGTGCTCATGTAAGGGAAAATTGATTAATTGAAAGTTAAAACATCACGTAAGTGATATAGTTTATAGCATCGTTTACATGCGAATAGTTAAGGTTATTTATTTAGAAATGATGGTAACTTGTTGTTGGTTTAAGCGATCTTTTGTTTGATAGGAAATAGGTGGGACATTATAACTGAAAAACAGTATAACTGGACAAGCAACATCTACTGGCCATTATACACATATTTTGAAGTAAAACACAATCGGGCAGATTATCTCGAAGACAGGAGTAGAGCACTCTTCTGAAACTATTAGTTTAGTGAGTAACTAAATTTGTCTTTGAATTAAGACTGAAAGTAAACGGCATATTGGTAGGCTAAATGATTATCATTATTCGGTTTCGTCAGAATAAGTATCCGACTACTGTTTCACTCATCATTCTGTCCTTTGAATAACTTAGTAACATGGTGTTTACTTTCGGATCCAAATTACTAAGTTAAGGTTAATATCAGGAAGGAGGGTGGCGTTAGCTGATCAGTAGATATGGTGGGGGTCACTAAGGTGAATCGCCCCATTCTGCAGGAACAGCAATATACAAATTAAAGGCTC